ACACAGGCCTGCTGCTCTGGGATGAAAGGTCAGGCTAAAGCTTGCGCACTCTTTATTGTGCCCTAGATAAGATTTTCCATAAGGCTTGTTGAGACTAGTTGTATTTGTATGTGTGTGTGTGTGTGTGTGTGTGTGTGTGTGTGGGTGTGGGTGTGGGTGATTGTGTGTGATTGTGAGTGTGTGTTTTATATCCTGGGCAGGGTTTTACAGTTTTAGAATTTCTGCAACAAATTCTCTCTCAAGAATCAATTCATGCTGCCAGCTTAAAAACAACAGCATTACCCATCCTGGGAATGTATTTAGGGCCGCCGCTAATGATTATTTTGATTATCATTTAATTGTTATGTTTGTAAAATGTCAGAAAATAGTGACAAATGCCTTTCAAGTCCAAGGAGACGTGGAAACGTCTTGTATTGTTCTATCAACGGCTCAAAATCCAAGCAGAAATGAATCAGCTCTACCTGTATCTCCAAAATGTTCTCATGTCATCGGTCTTAGGAAAGGTTTGTTCACAGATCTCCCTGCTAAATGTGTTTTTTTGTTTGTTTGTTTTTTTTTGCTCCTAAATTTTTCAAAGTAAGATTTGCTGCATGGAAAATGCATCACTTCAGTGTATGTATGTATGTGTATGTGTGTGTGTGTGTGTGTTGAGGTGGACGGTCCTTGTATGTGTTTTATTATACATGTATGGAGACAGCATGTGTATTTATAGCCAAGAGTAACTGTGTGTGTGTGTGTGTGTGTGTGTGTGTGTGTGTGTGTGTGTGTGTGTGTGTGTGTGTGTGTGTGTACACTGAGACGGCAGTCATCTGGAGTGTCCACGTGACTGAAGTGAAGAGACGGAGGGGGGAGGAGGAGGAGAGCTTGACCTCGGACTTGTTTGCACTCTGCGTGGCAGTGTGTCAGTCTGTGTGTGTCTGTGTGTGTGTGGGTGTGTTTGTATGTGTGTGTCTTGATATTTCTACCTTTTAGCTTAGATACATATAAATGACTCCAATAGTAGACTTAGGATGGAAAATTCCTTTTGTCGTCTGTTAGGATGAGCAGAGACTGTCAATTACTGAAAGAGATTCACTTATATCCTCAGAGGTTTTCTGCTAAAAAAAACAAATTGGGTGACTGTCAACTTTTTTTTGAATTTGAAAGTCTTCACCCCAGTCAGAAACTCTACTTGAATGATATGGTGGCACTTTCACTAGCACAGCCAATTATGAAATCTAATGCTCTGAGCAGAGTTTAATTTCTATCTTAAAATTGAAAAAAAAAAAACCTCATCTAATTGCAAAGTGCACAAGCTTAAAATGACAATTTTTTTTAGATTACTGTTCACACAAGCTTACACGAGAATGTCTGCCTCCATTTCAAATGTCCCTTTGTTGTTCATTTTCCAGCTAAAATGAGAATAGAGGCAACAAGTATGCCTAGTGTAAATTGGATGTTAGTGCTTTGCAGTGGGAAGCACAGATGGAGTTCACGGTAGAAATACAGCTTCCGCTGAAATGCATTTACTCTCCGCCTGCGTTTGCCAGACTGTGTATGGTAATGTACGGTCATAGATGTCTGTGTAGTGGAGTGGCGCTTGTTATTGTTGGATTTAGCAGCACTCAGGCTACACAGACACAGGAAAGAAAACACTTTCTGCTCCATTAATGCGTCTGTTGTAGAAATGTCATGTGTGCTAATGGCGGGGCGACTAAACTGAGGCTGTAGAAATGGGTCACAAAGTTCACGTGGCCGTGTGTGTCTAGGGCAGCGTGTTTCATGTAGCTGTGTGTAGTGGTGGGGTGAAGTGTGTGTGTGTGTGTAGCTGCAGTGGCAGGCAGACTGCTGGTGATTAGGAACAACAGGGCAGAGTTCAGCTGAGCGAGTGTGTGGAATGCTAATCCACATTGTCATAAGGCGAGCTTCAGCCTGACAAAGGACTGGAGACATAGTGGTGATAGGGGCTGTGTGTGTGTGTGTGTGTGTGTGTGTTTATGTGTGTCGCAGAAGCAAACCACATTAGAGAGGTGCTTCATTACTGCAGATTAAGCCCAAGTCACAGCATGGTGTGTGTTAATAAAGCACATTGGGGGGTGGGAAGGTGGAATGGACGAGAGAGAGATGGGCAACAGGAGGAGAGGAAAACAGTTGTGTTGTTGAAACGTGCAAACGTTTGCACCCGCACACATTCATTAAGGCATACAGAGCGCAGAGCAGCAGGAATAACGAGCAGGGGTGTGTGGGTGGTGGGCGTTAAGCTGTCAGGTAAGCAGGAATTACAGGGAGAGACACAGGCAACCATTAATGGAACACACACACATGTATGTGGACACACACTCGCACATACACACAAATACACCTATTGACAAACAGCATCTTTAACTCTTTGTCTAAGTGGTTCCTGCAGGCAAATACACACATGAACCAACACGGTCTCACAATTTCTTTATAGTTCTCACACACACACACACACACGCATGCACACACGCGCGCGCGGTGTCCCACCTTTTAACGAGCTGTCAGTTGTCTCATCAGCACAGCATCTGTTGTCGTGGGGGTCAAGCAAATGAAAGACCCCTGGACGAACTGGTGTTAATGTCAGTTTGGCCCCGTGCTCTCCACAAACAAACACACACACAGAGGGAGTGACCGATTTGAGATTAGGGATGTATACTATGTATAGTAGCAAGTAACTTCAACACACACACACACACACACACACACACACACACACACACACACACACACACACACACACACACACACACACACACACACACACATTCAGACAACCTTGATATTGGAGGAAATCCAGCTGACAGGGGCCCAGCTCACCTCCACACCACTGCAGTGGGTTTATTGTTGTTTCTGTCAATTCTCCTCCCTCTGTCCCCTCCTTCCCTCTATCTCTGCCCTGTCCCATCATCCCACTCTCTCTCTCCCTCCCTCCCACCTTCCCTTCCTCTCAGTGCTGCAGTGCTGCCTTCTGGAGAAAAAAAAAAAAAGGAAAAAACACCAACCACAAGCGCTCATAAACGGACAAGCCCCCCTTCTATGTACACACACACACACACACACACACACACACACACACACACACACACACACAGAGACACACCTGGCTATGCATATGGCTCCAGCCTTTTACATTTGCATGCACATGCTCATTCATCCATGTCCTTGTAAATAAGGGACTGTCCCCTACATACACTACACACGAATTGACAGGCTCTCAAAACAGTACTACTGGTACTTGCTTTTTCTTTGTTTCTTTTTCGTGACAAAACAGGAAGGGTTACTGAAATGGGAGCAGATGCAGACAATCTTTCAGTCTCTGAGAACGTCAAATCCGTACAATTTAGAAGCAGGAACCAGCCAATATTGGGTATTTTTTTGCTTGATAAATGCCTTCAACAATAAATCACTTGTCAAAACGTTGAACCGTTCCATTAACAGTATAGAAATTTGTATAGCAAAAGAAGTTTGTGTGTGTGGAGGTGTAATGTGCATGTTTTGGTATGCAAACAGGGCAGTATCTGGGTACACGAGACAGCAAGTGATTTCGAAATGTGATGATTAAATAAGTACATTTGAAAATGAGCAAATAAAAGATGTATTGTACTGTAATGCTGCTGCTGGAGCTGTAGCTGACATGAATGTTGGGTGGGTGATACCTGACTGTCACAGTAATTTGCCCGTATTGTTCTGAGGCTGTTTACCTCTGGTAATGACAGTGGTTCTTAGCAGATACCGCTCAGACGAAAATCCTGTAGTCCAGCTGACAGCTGATGAAAGGCTGTCTGTTTATTATTCACTGTGTCCGACTGTGTGTGTGTGTGTGCATTCCTACTAGCTTTAAAAGGCTAGTAAGTCAATTATTGATGCTTTCTACAACCTCTATCTCTCTTACTTTCTTCCTCCTGCCCTCCGCCTTTGCACTTCTCCTCATGGATTCTCACTCTTCCTCTATCCGCTTTTTTTTTTCTCCTACATCCCCTTTTCCTCCCACCTTCTCCTCTCAATCTCTACACCTCCCATCTCCATCCTCTCTCTCTCTCTCTCTCTCTCTCTCTCTCTCTCTCTCTCTCTCTGTTGCGGGGTTCTACCTAGTGGTTCACATTGCGATGCTTGTTCCTCTGGTGCCTGCGCTACATGTCAGTTCGGTTGTGTGTGTGTGTGTGTGTGTGTGTGAACTGCAGGCAGCCTGTGTGTAGTGTCAGGCCTGTCTGCCGTAGATAAGCATCAACTCCATCAGCCTGTGGCCTCTCGCTGAGCGTGTCCTGGATTTGCTCAAAAAACACACACATACACAGTCCGACACACACAGACGCACAACTACAGGCAGCGCCAGCAGTGTTTATTTGAACACACATGGCGCAGAGGGTACGGAGCTGACACAATGAATCATAAACATTCACCACACACACACATATATATACATCTTCACTAGAGAGGCTGGCTCCAATCATGTTGCATGTCTAACAATGAATCACATGCACAGAAGCACATAATGACAGGCAATGTTGTAGCCATGTTGACTATCAGCGTGGCTTTTCTTGTGTTTTATTCATAGACCCTCCTCAGTGGTCTCATTCAGTCTCTACTCTTACGCTTATCGACTTCACTGCCGCCTTTCTTCTCTCCGACACTGTATTACGGCTGGCCCAGGCCGTAGCTCACTTGTGCTGTTCTCTTTGAATGCCATTTGTCTCCATTTTCTATCTCTTAGATGTCATTTGTCTCTATTTCCTATCATTTAAATGTCATTTGTCTCTATCGTTCCCCTCTGTGACAACGGTGCCAGTTGTAATTTTTTTCTCTCCACTTTCTTCCTCTCGTTCCCACGCTCCCTGTCAAGAGTGTGCATCATATTAATTGTTCAGAGTATTCGAACAAATGTTTTCTGTGCTATCTCTGTGCTCTCTTTTGTCTGTTTGACCTTGGTGTGTGTGTGTGTGTGTGGTTGTGTTTGTCTGTCTCTGTGTTTAAACCGCCGCCTCTTTCTCCATGTGTTTCAGAAGGCAGTGGAGGAGGAGGAGAACCAGGTGAGGAAACCCTCTGCAGACCTCTGCTCACCCAGCGGCAAGCAGGCCGATCCCGACCCTGCGAGAAAGGTCAGTCGTCGGTTCTCCCCTGGCATCCATCCACCAATCTCTCCATCATTTCCTCTACCGCCCCAGCATCCCCCTTCTGTCTTCCCCCTCCCCCTCCTTTACACACAGGTCAGCTCTCAGGGTCACCACCCCCACTGACAGACACACCCCCTGTTCACCCATTCATAGCGGCACACTTCTCCTCTCTGACCTGTCAGGGATATATTCATACAGCTGCTGAAAGGCTCTGCTGTCCACCTCCCCCTGTCACTGCACACACACTGACTTTACATGCACATGCAGGGAAGACACTCTTTATCATGATTGTCTTTTTCCTCCAACGCACACACACAAACGCACTCTCACACACTCTCACACACTCTCAGCTGACGCCTGATGGATGATCCCTCATCCACATGTATGCATGCATGTATTAGCTTTATTAGATTATGACAGCGAGAGTGCCATGTGTAGTACAGCACATTCCCCTCTCCACCTGCTGTTTCTCTCCGTGTATTCATGTCTCTGCATGTGTGTGCATGCGTGGGCATGCATCTGATTGCCACGGTGATAATTCACCTATTCAACAGCAAAATTGAATGCAAAGATCAATGAATGGATGGAGGAGCAGCCATTGTGTGCCTTTGTTTCTGTAACACAATAGGCATAAAAAAAACAATGTTACTATGGTGTGTCATATTTATGTGTGTGTGGTGTTTTTGTTTTCCACAGGGGAAACCATCTCCACCTACTCTGATGTTCAACCGCCTTTTCTCGGACATTAAGGAGGAGCCAGGACACCCCACCCTGGTCCATCCCAGGTACTACATCATATTAATTTTGATGAAACAGCATTGATACACCATTTTATGATTGTATTATTGGTTGCATTATTTTTATTATGGATTTATCTATAGGTTCATTTTTCATTCATTTCATTCTGTTTAAAAAAAGAAAAAGAAGAACGACCCCCACATCAGAGTCTAACCTGACGTTTTATGTTGTCTGACATTCAGTCCATAACCCAAAGTCCCAAAGTCTACAGATTGTTAAAATGGTGATAAAATGCCATTTACAATTTCTCTAATCCCAAAATGATGTCTGCACTTTGCTTGTTTTGTTTGACCAACTGTCCAAAACCTAAAGATATTCAATTTACTGTCATATATGACATAGAAAAGCAACAAATTCCCACATGTGAAAAGTTGAAACCAGCGAATGTATGGCGTTTCTGCTTGAAAAATAAATGAAACAAATAATTGATTATCATAATTGTTTTTTGAATAATCTTAATTGATTAATTGACTAATGATTGCAGCTCTATGTAGTCCACTTTTGCCTTGTGTATTTCCAGAAAAGTGCTGTGGATGTGACTGATTTTGTTGTAGGAATAGGATTATTTGCTTCTAAATTGTTTAAATTTGTTGTTTAGTCCTAGAGAACCTCCTCTCCCTTCCTCTTCCTCTTTTCTTTCCTAAAGCCCTTGTTTCTTCTCTACTGGTTCTCTTTTCCTCCCTCCATCCCTCCCCAGAGCACACCAGCCGGTGTTTGGATGTGGAGCTCCGATAGCTCACGCAGTAATCTGACCCAGATTAAAAGATGGAATTAGATGGTTTATGGCGCCATAGCTACACGTGACTGCCCTGACATACTGACTGTGTCGAGGCCGGCAGACGTCAGGCCAGACTAAACTATAGCAGGATTAGGGTTCCGGTCACCTGTCAGCATTACTGGACTGATACACTCCCAAACCAGTCAGGACTCACACAGACCGGTTTGGAGCACGTCGGTTGCATTGCAGCGTTAGTAATAATGAAATGCTCTGCTACAGCCAAACGTCGTGCTAGACAGCCACAGCACTTAACGTCCTATTTGGGTTACTACCAACATCCATTAGCTGTACACTTGTCAAATACGAGCCAAGCTTACATTATTCAATCACATCTTTGGCGTTTCATGTGAAGGAGTTTGAGATTCTCATTCGGGCGAGCAGGCAGAGCTTCATTTCCACCCAGAGAAGAGGAAGCAAGGCTTGGTTGGTAGTGCTGTAGTTTTTCAGGCAGAGCCCCACTGTGCTGTCATGCTTAACCTAGTTCACAGCTCCGGCCTCAGCTCTGTCTGGAGGGGACTGTTGGTGGGGGAGGGGTTCAAAGCTTCTCTTCTCTTCTCTTCTCTTCTCTTCTCTTCTCTTCTCTTCTCTTCTCTTCTCTTCTCTTCTCCTTGCCTCTCTCCTCGCCTCTCTGTCTCTTTCTATTTCTCTCTCTCCTTCTTTCCCTCCCTTCCCACCATGCAGCCAGGAATAGACAGATAGTGTTGGCTCAGTGGCTTCAGTGCATCTCCAGGCACTATCTCTCTCTCAGTTGTACCCACTACCTGGACATTTGTGATAAGCTGAAGGTCTGTTTAGGCTGAGATCCTGTAAACACCCGATAAGAAATATTAATATTCCACACGGTGTTTTCAGCTCCTGTCTTCAGATGGTGCAGTTACTCGAGGCTAAAACAGTCACCAAATGACTTGTTTTATTGCTGTGTTTCATCTGTGTGTTACCGTTGCAGAGGTAAAATGGCCATTTGCAGGTGTATACTCAGAACTCTTTATGGTCTTTACTGCAAAGACAGAAGTATGTTAAAAGTGACACTGCTGCCATTATGACTAGAATAAAGAAGACAAGACAAAACAGCATCCCCCACCTTTGTGCGATCAAGGGGAACTAGAAGTTGAAATAAAATCACTTTCCAGTGGTATTTTATGTAAAAAAAAAATAAAAAAATAAAATAAAAATAGTAAGGATTTAACTACATATGAGATCTTCAAATGTCTTCTCTGTGTTCGTTTCTTTCTCCCAGTTACTACCTGTACACATACGATAAGATGGTGGCCCCCAACGTGTCTCTGCGGAGGGAGGCGGAGATGAGTCCGGAGATGCTCGGAGCGCTGCTCAAACACCACTACAGTCGCAGAGTGCTGGGCCACGACGAGCCACCCATGGGTCAGTAATGATACACACATTATTACACAGAGACACACATTTAATCTGGCAAAGTATTCTGGGGACCGGGAATATTAAAAACCAAAAGCATTAAGTCAAATCAGGTTTTATTTGTTTAGTGCCAAATCACATCAGAAGATGTCTCTTTTCATGCAGGGCAGATTACTCTTTGTAATATTAATTACAGAGACTCAACAATCACTAACTTAAATCCTTGGAGCAGCCACATGCCTGAACCAGTCAGACCACCCAAGAGACACAAGGCTGCATGGGTTTTATGTATTAGAAATAAAATATGATCAAATTTCATTTTCAGCTTTCCTTGATATAAGGTTACAAAGATATGCTCGAAATTGTCATCCCTTTAGATAGCACACAAGTCAGGCACGTTCTGAGCATGGAAGTACTAGCCATTTCACAAGCCTTTCAATTTGCATGTTGTAATCAAACGCCGCATGCAAGTCTCACAATACTAAAATAGAATTACGCATAGAATCATAACCTTTCTTACTTGACCTTCTTGTGAGAGTAAACGCAGCGACCTGCACCGTACAATTACGTTCATTCATGAAACACTGAAAACAGTAGAGCTGAAAATGGGTGAAAGGCGGGAAGTTGCCTCTAATTTATCCATTAAATGACTGACTTCAGAACTACAGTAGTTGTTTAGCTACATTATCCAGTGTGAGATGGCAGGTAAAGTGAAATTTCATGTTTAGAAATCTTCCTGTGATTAGCAGTACATTTATTAATGTATTTATAAACAACTAATCCCTCCTGTGGAAGGATTAGTTGTTTTCTCTGGTTGAAAGCTCCAGAAAAAGCTACTAAGTGGACCTTGATTCTTGGTCAAAAATGCACATACTCTGGTCTAAACTATGTATTAGAACCAATTCCAGGTGAAATGATTTCCACAAACAGTCAGAAGCAGATGACTCTGATGATTATTAAATATGAATTATTATTTAATAAATACTCCTGTGTCTGCTATATGTACATTAGACACACAAACAAGGCTGACACATGTCTGCTATAAATACATCACACACATACAGCAAGCACGAGCCATTTACATACATACAACATAAGCAGAAGAGACATGTAGATCATGTACACGTATTACATGCAGTCAAAGAGCAGACACGTGCCTACTGTAAACATACAACCTACAGTTACTACCATCCAACACACACACACACACACACACACACACACACGCACTTAACATTGCAGCCTGCAGCGACGCACATAATCATGCATTGACCTTCACATAAAGACTCGGGGGGGCACCTCACTATTGCACGAGGGGTTGAAATGGCTTTGACCTCCTCTCTTTACTGTGTGTGTGTTTTTATGTGCACATTAAAGTGTGTATATTAAACCTGCATTAATAAGAAGTATGTGTATGTGGGGGGGGGAGGGCATGTATATATAGAGAAAGATAGAGGGTGAATCACAGCAGTAGTTTCCGTCTGCCATTATTACACCATGTCTGACTGCCAGGCTGTCTCTCTCATATCTCTCAGGCGTTCTGTTCTCCTTTTTCTTCTCCAACCAAATACGTCTCTCTTCCCTCGCTCTTCCCTCGCCTCTTTTCCTGGCTGCTATCTCCACATCCTCTCTGAGTCTGTCCTCCGTCTGCTCCCGCACTTCCTCTTCCATCCGTCCATCCATCCATCAATCCTCGCCTCTTTCTTCTCTGGCTCCCTTCATCTCCGCCTCCCTCTCAGTCTGCTGTCACCCCGTCCCCCCCACCCCCCTTTCCACTACTCCTCCTCCTTCTCCTTCTTTTTTTTCCCTTCATTGAAAGCCTTCCTCTCAGTCTGTCTGTGTGCCTTTCACTCTTTCTGTTGTGACCCTCTCTTCCTCTCTCTCTCTCCCCAGCTTATTTCTTTTTGATCCACCAAATGATTCACTCCTGTTATTTGTGTGCTTCTACTATGGTGTGTGTGTGTGTGTGTGTGTGTGTGTGTGTGTGTGTTGTGTAGGTGTGGTGGTGGAGTGTGTAGTGTGTTGTGTGAGTGCTTGATTGTGTGTGTGTGTGTTCACATGCTCAAGCCAGCCTGAGTCAGTAAATGAGTGTCCTCTCCAGTGCCAGACAGGCTGTGTACAGAGCATGCTGTTTCCTGTCACACACATACTGTATGAATACATTATCCTGGTAAACAACCCACTGTTCTCATGCTCTCTCTGTCACATTTCTTCTTCTCTTTCTGTCTGTGAGCTTATACCTGCACACACATGGTCATTATTAGCCGTCACATGCCCCGCCGCAGCATCTGTGCAGATGTGTCTGTGTGTGTGATACCGCCTCTTTGATCCGTTTCCCACGATGTACACCTTAAAGGCCACAGTGAGGGAACAAGCCAGAGTTTGAAGGAGCCCATACAGAGCGGCGCAGCCCCCACGCAAGACCCTTTTTTCCCCTCTCTTTTCTGTGACTGTGTCTGAGGGCACACACGCAGAGAATCTGTGGGCAAGTGTTGGGTTCCTCGGCTGTTGCCATGCCGTGCTTGTGCTTGCGTGTGTGCTCACGCTGAGAAAGAGGTGTGAGCTTTTATGAGGTTGTGCGAGGGTGTTACTAAGCGTAGGCGGGAGTGTGCACCAGCTCGGCTCGCACTTCCTGTCTTTCAACTAGCTTCTATTCTTTTTTTTTTTTTTCTTTTTTTTTTATTTAAACTCCTTCCTTCATCCTCCTCTTCCTCCTTCCTCAGATCTTCACGCGTCGCCTCCCGTCGCTGCTGGCGCCGAGGAGGCCAAATCCCAACGTGCCGCTGCTGCCTTGGCCGCAGAGCGGGAATGCCAAACCCAGGCAGTTTCCATGGAGACAAGCAGCCCGAGCTGCAAGACAGCCACCCACACCCCCGCCCACACCCCTCCTCCTCCTCCTCCTCCTGCGTCGTTGTTGTCGCCGGTAACGGAAGTAGCGGCTAAGGACACAGGCTCTGTCACAAGCGGCGCTGCAGTGGTGGTTGGGGGGCTGGAGGATGACAAGGACAGGATTGTTGTGGAGATCATGCAGATGTACAGCAGGCAGCAGGAGAAGCTCAACTCCACCCTACACAAGCAGCTGCAGCTGGAAATGGTGAGTCGGTGGTCGGAAGGAACAAAGACCAAGATAAATGAGCCCAAGATAAACTAAACCATAACTGTCCTCGTCTATTAAAAGTGTCCTTGATGTGGATGTGGAGGTGATGCTCACCTCCCACTGACCCCTTCATCTCTCCCTCTTACCGCATGAAACATTTAGTTATCAGATGGTTCTGCCGTTTTTAAAACAAGTCAGCACCCCCTTTCATCTAAATCACAATTTTTCACTGATGTATAACATATTGTATAATTATTAAAACACTTAATTTCAGTTTAGACACATTGAAATGGAGTTGACCTACATTATATAGAGACGTTCACACCTAATGCAGAATTATACCCCTGTATTAAACCCTCCAGGGGGATTTGGAGAGAACTTAATTTGTATTGTAAAATGAGATATCCACCATTAGAAAATATTGGTTACAGTACGTCTTTAAAAAAGACCAGATAAGATATACACGGTGCATTTTCCACTACCGTCTTTTTTGCCCTTGACTACATCCATAATCTGACAAAATGTGTAGAATTAAAGGTCAAAGGTTACACAGTTTTTGATTTTATCTGAATTGGGGCAGCATGGCGCCATAAGCTGCAGAACCCTGTACTCAAGCCCCTTGTGGTATTAGATATGTGATTCCCTGTGGAGGGGCTGAAATGTAAAGCAGTTTCCCCACAGAGGTCAGTGAAGTATCATATTATTATTATTATTATTTCCCTTGACTTACTCTTTGTGTTTCCAGGAGCTGGAGGCGTTGCGTGGGGGTGAGGCGGCGAGGCTACGGGAGCTGAGTGCTGAGCAACGGGAGCTGCGCAGCGAGCTGGAGGCGGTGCACAGCGAGCAGGCGCGGCAGCTCAGCCAGGCCCGCCAGGAACAGCTGGAGCTGGAGACCCGTCTGGAGCAGCTCCGGCAGCAGGCCTGCGCCTGCGAGCCGGGGGCACAACGTCAGCAAGAGGCCCACTACACTGCACAGGTACGGGTTAAGGGGGGAACACATGCGTGCACAGGGCTGATCCGGGCATCAGAAACAGTCTGAGTGATACAGTATGCACATTGGCTTGCATCGCTTAACATAAGCCATTTTTATCTCAGATTTTACACTGCTATGCTCCTGTGGGAATCCAATTCAATCCGAGGAAGCATCGATGCAGCTGCAGCACTCTACATATTCATACTTCCTTGCATTTACTGAGCACTTAGTTATTTAACTCGGTTTGATTTCAGTTTATTAACATGGACGTACACAAATTTGCCCTTGAATCTTTGATCCTCACTGGGTTCCATGAATTGCAGGTCAACACTCGGTGAGCACCAGCAGATTGCTTTGACCAGTGGATTTTGACTAAATGAAAAAAATATTTTGAGCTCTCTGTTTTTTAAATTTGCTGATCAGATAATGGCAAAGAATTCTGAGATCACATAGTTGTCGCCCACATGTTTTTAGAGATGTGGACGAGCTGTTTCTGTGCTTCAAATCATTTCGTGTGCATGCAGCACTATGCTGTTGAATTGCGTGAACACACACACACACACACTAACATGAACATTCGGGCATTTGGGGCCTTTGTTTTGGTTTCCACTAGACTTAATCTTGAGATAGATTGTGTAATGTTGGTCTGGGCTCAGGGCTGCAGTATCCCCCTCCTGTCTGTTATTGAAGCTCCGGCTCCTCCTGCCCCGCTCCCCTTGGCACTGAAATCAGGCTGTCTGCCAGTTACGAGAGGGGGTGTGCATGTGTTTGTGTGGTTATGAAACTAATGCTAGTCCTACACTAAACATTTTGAACATTTTTAAAGTAACAAGTGGCACAGTCGTTGTCTTCACTGTTGAGAAATTCAGACCTGATTATTTTCAGTTATTTTCTAGTCTTGCCTTAAAAGACACAATGACCAGTGACATCATTTTAATCTTACTTTTACTATAATTGCCATAAAGCTGTCTCACACCTGCTTATTGGTTGTAATATTAAGCTGTCGTAAACAAGGTTAAGTCGGCTTCCATGTCTGACCGTTGAAGAGTGACCGCTGGCGACTGAAAGAGCAGCAAGAGCTTAGGGTCTTCTCAGCTTCTTCCTGCATTTTGACAGTCTCAAAATACAGTGCAACACAAGTAGATAGCATATTTGCTGTACTTTGCACAGTCTGTTATGATAGCTTGCTTGCTAGCTGCTTTTCAGCTGCTATCTCTCTGTCTAGATGTGTTCAGACATTTAATGTTTACAGCTTTTTAAATGTGAGGACTTGTTGATTTACGTTGTCATCATAAACTTAATTCACTATTTCCTGACATTTTATAGGATTGATTGAGAAAATAATCTGCATATTAATCATTTATGAAAATAATTGTTAGTTTGTTACTCAGTCTTGACAGAATCTTTTTTATGTGTATTTGATTTGTGAGAATAAACACCACGACTTACTTGTTGCTATAAGTGATAATGTGACAGACTAAATGTCTTCTAATGTGCTGTAGTCAATAACTTGACTTCCTGTCTGTGTCTTCTCCCAGTTGTCGGAGCTCCGTCAGAGGCTGGAGCAGGCGGAGGCGGACCGACAGGAGCTGCAGGAGGAGCTGCGCAGGGAGCGGGAGGCGCGGGAGAAGCTGGAGCGCACAATCACCCAACTCAAGCAGCAGATGGCCCGGTCTGGCACGATGGGAGGCAGCCCCTCTCCTCCTCCCACCCCTTCCACCGGACCCCCTAACGCACACTCCCCGCCCTCCTCCTCCTCCTCCTCCTCCTCTTCCTCCATCTCAGAGGCCCCAGCGGCTGGCCAAAAGTAACTGCCACCCCTCCAGGCGCCTCTCCCCCTCTCTCATTCCTCTCCCCATCACCCACCAACTCTACAGACACAAACAAATCAGCCTGAAGCAGAAAGAAGCTTCACATCTCCTCGGGCTGTTTTTAAGTTGCGATCTCTCACCCTCCTCCCCCCTTATTTCAGTGTAGGACTGACTTTTGTTTTTGTAATTTAACATCACTTAAATGAAAAGTTTTATGGTGTGTTTTTTTTTTTTTTTTATTATTCTTTCTTTTGCTCCCTCTCCCCTCTTTAAACAGTATTTAAAGATTTTTTGGGCATGTATGATTTAATTTATAGTTTTTACTGAACAAACAGCTGCTTCACAGACAGGAGTTTGGTCGAGTAGAGACCAACTCAACCTATCACTATTTTTTTTTTTTTTCCTCTTCACGATTGTCACCCTCCTCTCACATCCCGCTATCTCGCTATCTCTGGATCCTGGAGCCAGTGACTTTGAGATTTCAGACTTTAGCTCAGACACACAGTCTCAGCTCCTCACTGACGTCACTTCATGCTACTACCTGGCACAGCAGCCGGTGCCCACGGACACATAATGGCACCTGGTTGTGTGCCTCCTCTCTGTCTTTCTGTATCTACAGACCAGATGCTCAAGTACCAGCGAATGCAGGAAACTGCATGGACATTTGAAAACAGTTTGTTTTTTTTTTCGCTCCTTATAAAATACTGAGAAAGAAAAGTATAATGTGTTAAAACATCAAGTCTATATGGAGGAGAAAAACCTTTACTGTACAAAAAAAAGACATTTAGCCGATGTCGTGAAACCTCATGAAAATATGCCAATAGTGACGCTGAACTTGAAATGGGTTTTTTTGAGTGTGACCTCTCAAGGTAGCTAACTAGCAAACTGTCTGGCCTGGACCCCAGCTGCTCCAAACACAGACTAGCTTCCTCTTCACTCTGCCGGGCTGCACCTGGACTCTCCTGTTGTAGACCAAACGATCTGTCGGTTGATCCACCAGCTGCCCACTGTCTCCTCTACTCCCCCACACACACACACACACACACACACACACACACACACACACACACACACACACACACACACACACACCCACCCCCCCCACTGGAGACCTCACACCTTCCATCACTGTACGCTAGCGCCATTGCCCTCTGCTGGGAAACTCTTTAACACTGTGGTTTTCACCCACTTTGGGCTAGACAGGAAACACTGTGCTCTTTCAGGCTTGGCATGAAGAAGCTCACGAGCAGTGTTATGCACTTAATGTGCTCTCCTCCCCCAGAGTCTCCTGGGAAAGGAATGTGTCTGGACACGGGGGCTGGTTGAGCCGGTGTAGCTTTTCTAAGAAAGAAGAAAGGCAGAGTCTCGCATGTGCTGTAGCTGTGCTGTGTTACCATAATACATACGACATCCTTACATGCTCGCGCACACTCGAGTGTGTCAGTGCAGTGCAGGGCTTTGGGCAGAACAATGGCCCCAGCGTTCCCAGCAGATGATCAAAGCACCAGTCTGTCCCTGTTTTCTGGACTTCTTCTTTTTGTATCGTTCGACTTCATTGTTAGCAAACGGTTTTATCCCCACCCTGTTTGTCAGAGTGTCGTCAAAGGATGTGGGTCGCAGGTGAAAGCAGTTAGTCCAGGGTGGTTTGGGCCCTGCTTCACGTTATTCTGCCTGGCTGAACAAACAGCACCGGGCAGGGGAGAGGAAGAGAGGGGAGGATTGAGGGGAGCGCTCAGGGGACTGGTGCAGTCTCCCCTGCGGCAGGCTGGGTGGCCCGGACGCCAGGGGTACAGAGGGAGCGTTTTTTGTTTTGTGCCGTCAGAATGGGGGCAGCTGTTGTTGTCTGGGGGCCTCTGCCCGCCCTCGGGGTGAGACTGTACAGGATCCCCCAGCTCTCAACACAACCTCCCTCCTCTCCCACAGAACCGCCGTCACTCACTCACTCTCACATACCCGTCCATCCATCTCAAGTGCCAGATCAGCTGGGGGTGTGCAGTGTTTTGTAGATGCCCAGGAGAGCGAGCAGACGTCCAGCCAGAGGAAGATAGGACTTTTATTGTGTCAGTTGCCAGGCAAAACGCTTTTTATTGCCACTAAGGAGATCCCTGTAAGCGAGTGTATGTGTGTAAATAATTGTTTAAAAAGAGTAGGGGATCGGCCTCGGCTAAACTCTGAGCTTTTTTTATGCATCTGCTCTAAATGCAAATTGATAGACATTCCACTGTGCTCCATCCTGTTCAATGCAGATTTTCTTACACAGCTTCCCTTTACAATAACAGACCTTAAAGACCGGGCAGGGTACAGTTGTGGTTTGTTGATAGTCATAAAAGCAGGTGCAGGTGCAAGCCAGTTAAATCAAACCCATGCCGCAAATGTACACTCTACTGTTGTTCCATTTAAACCTTTATTGAAATTATGAAAGAAAATATTTAACGTATTAACTAAAGATTTATATTCACTTTGTAAATACAGTAGTCATTAATATATTAACTGTTCTTATATGAATAATCTTCAAAAGGTTATATAAATTGGACCAGAACTAAGGCTTCAGACGGCCTAAATGTTTTTTGCTTTCTTTTTTAAAAAAGTTATCTTTGCAGATATCAGAACTTGACTTTTGTCGAGTGGATGTGGGGGAGTGAAATGCATGGTTTACTGAGACATGATGCAGGACAAAGGCAAAATAGGAAAATAATACTTTGTTACACACTTTCCCCCTTTCTGAACTGATGCATTCGTTTTTTTGGTTTTTTTTGTGGATTTCATCCTGACGAACTGTTTAACTTGTAATGTAATGAGCTTTCCTCTTTGTTAACCCCCCCCCCCCCCGAGCTAAATTGAAAACATTTGTTTAAGAAAATGCATTTTGGGAACAAAAAGGAAAAAAAGAAAAAAAAATGATTTTTTTGCATGTTTTCTGCCCCTTATGTTTAGTGTCACCGGGCCACTCTACCAATCAGTTTATTGTGAAAAAAAAAAGTTTCCCCCCATGTAACACAAACTATTGAGATGCATGAACATTGAACATGTGCAAGTTTTATGTCATTATTGGTTCAGAGGATAAATATAAAGTCAGAGTCAGATTATAAACATAAAATGTAGCCCAATTTGATTTGGAAATAATGTGAATTTGTGTGTGAGAGAGAGAGAGAGAGAAAGAGAGAGAGAGAGTGTGTTGACCTCCCACGTCTGACTGAAGCACAGCAGCTTTGAAAAGGGAAAGAGAAAAACTTGCTCATGTAGCTCTGGATGTGTAGTTGTATGTTTTCTGATTTGAGATCATATATATCCTCGTCTGGATGTGTTAACATCACTCAAAAGATGATCAGTATTAGTTTTTATTGACTTAATTACCTCTTCAGCAGAACAAAAAAGAATCATTTTAATTCATCACATTAGCAGATAGACCTAATGAAAATCTGTAATTTTACTTTGTGTAATTTGCATTTTATACACAAGGGGGCGATGTTTAGCTTCTTTAATTGTGCATTCACCTTAATGAAAAAAGGACTAAACGATAGGGGAGAGAAAATCCCTTGTAACATGGCGTGCTGGGCCTTTTTGCATTTTGCAGTGTTATGAGAACTTGGATATGCTTTGTACAGAATTTTTACAGGTGTGCAGTTTGCCCAACCAAGTAAAACAAGGCGAAAGGAGCTGGGCTTTACCACAGGAATACATTTGAATACAGGATTTACTGACCCATACTTGAAGAAAACCAGTAAACAAATCCAAGGTGACTTTTGAACTGTTGCAGGTGGTCTGCTTTGTAGTTGGGTGTATAATTTTCAGCCAGTAATTATTCTATGCCGGTGTGGGAGAAGTTGGAAGTAGGGCTGCATCGCACAGATCACTGGTTACTAAGAATATAATGTTTTAATTTCTACACATCCTGTCATAGATGAAAAGAAAATATTTGTGGCTTTGCTAAAAAGAACCCTCCTTCCCCCTCGATGCTGTTCTGGAAAATGAAACGCAGTGTCTGTGTATGACCATTGCATACTACGTTGCCAATACTACAGTGTGATGAGACTTTTGTTCTTGCATGAATCGAGACACTGTTCTCCTACCTCATGTTGTGATATAAAAAGATGTTTTTTAAGCAGAAGACACTGCATCTCTAACTGTTTATCATCATTGATATTTACTAGTAAATGACATACCTGTAAATGCTTTTAGCTAATACCTCAGTTGTATCTAGTGTTTGTTTTTTTTTCTGTTTTTGCCCTTCCCTGATTTCAGATCTTGTAAATATGCCCTGTATAGACAATGAACTTGGATCAAATTCAAGTAAAGTTCTGTAGTGTCAAACCAGTGTTGTCTTTTGCCTTTCTCATCTGCTTCTCATGCTAATATTGTCCTTAGAACTTCCTTATTCACACTTTTGCAGCAGTGTGATATGAAATCCCACACATTACAGGGGCAGGGGTAAAAAGAGTTTCTGGTTCCAGCCTATTTACCATATTTCTATCTCTTACATAAGGGTCCACTGAATATTTATGGATTTTTAAATTGTCTGCACTAAACAAGATTTTTAGAGAAGTCATCTGGGAACCTTTTCCAGGTATCTTTAGCTATTTTCTGAAGTTTAATGCACCAACAAGGTTGTTCTGCAGATTAATCAATAAGGATCAATAATAATAATTGTTAGTTGCAGCTCTAAATTTGCGTCTTCTGTGTCCCCTCCGTCTTTCCTATTGCTGCTGCAAAATAGATTTTTTTTTTTTTTTTTATCCATATAGGTTTTCTACAATTCTGCAATATCAGAGCATAAAAATTGTCTTTTAATTTCACATTTAACATTTAACATTCTGCAGGCTGCACCTAACTGTGCAAATCTGAACACATATATGGTCCACTTAGTTTTACATTCAGTGTGACTTATTCTTTCTCAGGACGTCATTATTTCCAATGTCCATCGCAAATAAACCTGCTTATAAAACATTAAAAAGTCACTGCTCATAACTGCAGAGCCTGCCTGAGAATCATCACGTTTTTAAGTTCAGAATCAAAGTAATCCATTGACAGTAATCTGTGCATCCACTGATACAGAACAATCAGGAACTGCTAAAGGCAATTTCTGCATACTTAATACTCCAAAATATAAAAGAAAATATATAAGGTAAATAACGCTTTAGTCAGTTTATATATTTTTTTTATATTTCGGAGTTCAAGTTGTTGCCCACAGCATAACTTAACCGTATCCACGGCAGCACAATACCTCCTGTTTCATCTTTATAAGTGAAGACACACCCCTTTTTGTATTGGGGGGGGGGAATTAAAAATCTTTCTTTTAATTATTTTTTTTACCATTCATCAGACAAAGTCAGTCATCCAGATGATTTGAAGCGTCTTTGGTGATTCTTAAAAATACTGCTAGAACAGCAGTAGATGACCTGGGATTCTCAATACCCACTCTAGTGTCTGCGTTCTTGCTGAACATTCGACCTTTGTTAAAGTAATTTATGGTTTACTTCATGCCTACATTCATCATTCTGTTATAATTGTACATTTTGAGTGTGCCCTGTTCTCTGGCCAAAAATGAATCTGAATCCAACTTAACGGATCGCCAAATTTATTACAATTAATCTCATCAGTAGTTTTTGATACATGGTCTGGGAACCATGAATGTAGAGATATTTCCTTAGATAAGTGAAAACCTTGACCTGGCTAGAGGAAAGATTGAGGGATCACCAAAGTCAGAGGGATTAATTCTCTCGGAATCAAGAATGTTTGTAGAAAATTTCATGGCAATCCATCCAATAGTTGTTGAGATATTTCAGTCTGGGCCAAAGTTGTGGACTGACCGACCAACACAGCCATCCACAGAACCACACTGCTATCATCACAATAAAATTGTTTTCTCACTACAAGACATTCATGTTTCATCATCTAATTTGATTTCTTCTTACGTGTTTCCCACATTAGATTTGCTTCGTGCAGTCATGTTTCCTCTGCAGCCAAGCTAAATTTAAACCTCCACTCACAGAAGCTGTCAGGGGGAGCTGCTGCCAAGCCCTGCGCTGACGGTGAGGCGGGACAGACTACACACAAAACAACTGCTATCAGAAAGCTGTTGAGGAAGCAGAGCCAGGCAACATTCAGACCCAGGTATGAGGGTATTCCCACAGGTAGCAGGAGGAGCACAGCCAGAAAAATCAGCAAAAGGGCCCAAGTGTTCAGAAATATACGCAGGACTTGGTAAACAAAACGTCTCCTGGAGTGACTTCTACTTTGGTCAGTGATTGGGTCTTTCAGAGGATGATTTTTTAATAAACGTGTGCTGCAAACAGCATGTAACGCTGCACAGCCCAGAGTCAAGAAGAGCAGCGTGACAACCTGCGGGATCTCAGTGGTATGGGAGACCCAGCACTGATGCATCTGCTGGTGAGACACATCCTCCAAGACAGGAATGAAGTCAGACCACAGGAAGACATAGAGAGCGCACAGGTTCCACAGCAGGATGGTTACAAGTGAGCAGACCATCCATTTTGTCCAGGAGGCGGCAGGTTGCAGAGAAATGGTGTAGAAATGCTCCAAACTAGCCACGACCACAACGGGCCACTGCAGAGCGCTGTACACGTGTCCGAGGATTTGAACCAGCAAACACATGTGATATCTGGTCAGCTGCATGTCCAAGAGGACGAGGTGTCCATCACTGTGGATGTGAATGATGGTGAAAATGAGGGTCAGGGCCGTGTCTACGACCGCCAGGGACACACTGAAAACCCCCAAAAAGCTTCTGCAGATGTGGCTCCTCTGGAGAATCACCAGCGCCCAGTTGAGCAGACATTTCCATCCCAGACCGAGCAGGATGGAGGGGATGGAGATGTTCATGGTGTGTTTTTAACCAGAAGTGCACTGTCGACTGCGGACCATTATGAAGACTCTGTCGATGCTGCTGGAGGGAGAAACAGTATTTTTAGATAAAAGTGTTAAAGCCAGTGTTAAAATAAACTTAATACAAATCTTGTGAATTTATCTGTCTGCCAGTTTATCAATCAGACTTTATTTGTATAGCACTTTTCATACAAACAGTATAACATAGTGCTTTATGGAATAAAAGCAAGGAGAACCTACCTACCTACCCTACAAGGATAAGTGGTACAGACAATGGATGGATGGATGATTCCAGATGTGGTTGATTATAATATATGCATCACATGGTTACATATTTATATTTAGCATGCTTTAATCTTGTTTTTTGTTTTTAGATTTTTTTTTCTTTTTGGTGGAGGATGTGGGCCACATGAAAAAATTCTGAGGTTAATCTTAAAGTTTGTATTTTTGGATCAAATCTCAGAAAATTAAGATGAATCTCATTCTGTCACACGTTAAATCCTCTTCTGTAGTTCTCTACCGGAGGCTGAATTTGTGTCCTTGCGGTTCTCCTTTATCCAATCAGGGTACTCCACTAATAGTTAGCTGTCCAATAGGACGTGAGCAATACAAGCAAATGGTCACCTGTATATTATTGTTTTTTTTTCTGCTGTTCCTGTGAATGTTTTTCATGCAGTGGACAAATCCTCATCTTCCTTCAAACAAAAAGACACAAAATCTTCTTCACTTTCTTGCGGCGTGATCCTGCTGCTGTTTCGTCACCTCTGTAGGAAACCACAGGTGACCTTTGACCTCAGACTGAGGAGGTCCGTAGCTGCACTGTAGATTTCTACAGGTTGTTTTTTGTATTCCCTTTGTAATAAACACTCCAGAACAAAGAAACAAACTCACGTTGACTCACTGTGAAATATCTTAAGGAGCTGGTCGGAACAAATCATTCTGGCAGGGCTGACAACGGAGTGGACAGAGTGCTGGAGAGTCCAAAATAAAGGAATCTATGGTGACTTGTTAGCTGTGTGTCACCATCCAGTTAAACTGAAGGACCTCTGTTGGAGTATGACATCTATACAGTGACAGTGGATGATGGGAAATCAAACCAGATTCAAATCAGACATGTTGCTCTAACTTATGACATTTAGATACTTTACTATACTATAACTTTTTTATGCCTTAATATACTATGACATTTTTATACCTAAATATACTATGATGTTTTTATACCTCAATATACTATGATGTTTTATACCTTACTATACTATGAAATTTTTATGACATCTTCATACCAAAATATGGTTTATACCTTAATATACGATGTTTTTTACGTTAATATACTATGACATTTTTATACCATTGTTATATAATACTAATTTAATATTTATCATTTATTTATTAATAATTACAATTATTATATGATAGTTAATGTGATCAATCTTTATATAACTGATCTGAAACTGCGAAATCTTTCCTGAATATGTCGATTATATATCATATTTTATAAATAGTCAAAAAAATTTACTATCAAATGAATAGCTGATTAATCAATTAATTGTTGCAGTTCTAGTCTAAAACCAGTGCTTTTGGCTCAGTGATTTTAAGCTCAGCCATGTTTCTACATCTTAAACTGTATGAAAAATAATACAAACATAAACTCACAGTGACACTGACAAAAAATAATGAAAAAACACTTTTTTTTAGTGCTCATACCGTGTTTCAACATTTCCTGTGTCTGCATGGAGACAGTTTCCCATAGTAACCAGGTTTTTGTTCCCTTTTTGAACCCTTTTTCTAGTTAATGCTTCCGACAGAAAACTCAACCGTCTCATTCTGTGTTTGAGGTGAAAGCAGCTGAAATAACCTTACCTAAAGCTGAGCTGAGTATTTGGGGAGTGCCTTGAGTCCACGAAGGTCAAACTTGCACAGTCATCTTTCTTGCCTCAGGGCGGTTATGTAGAATTTCTCCATAAACGTTTGACTTCAGCTTTTTCATACTGTCATTCAGTTTGCAAGTGATTTGACTGTGAGCTCTGACCCACAGAACAGACTGATTCACAGGTCAACACAGTGACAGTGATAGAGTCACTATGTTGGGAATTTGCTGCCAAAACGACTTACCCTGCTACACACCCAGCTTTTAAATATGGGAGGGGCGTATAGAAGTCAGGTTAAGATAAGGTTAATGCAACAGGGGGACAGATTTATAATGACAAGGTGCAGCCTCGTATCTATGACCGATTCGCAGCTGTACTGATATTCAGTACAACATCACTCCCTCTCGTGTGATATTGCTTTTATACAACAGTTCTACGAGCGCCATATTAGTTGAATAAGAAACAACAGATTATGATTTGTTTGATTTGTTTTGCACAAATAGTTCCGCAACTGGACTGGCAATAACGGCCATTAATGTTAAGCTGATTAATGGTTAACAGAACACCTGTGAAGCGGAGTGATACATGTAGTTAAAAGTCCCAGTACTGTTGTACTCTCTCTCTCTCTCTCTCTCTATAGCAGATAGGAGATCATTGTCTGTGTCTGATGCATTAATAACTGAGCTGTTCTGAGCTGTTATTATTAATTCACTCTTTTTCTGTTTCCTAATTGGATTGATGTTTAAGTCATAGTGCACTACACCTCTGCCTCTGCTGCAGATTCTGCTGCTCTATTATCAACAAACCGTTAACAGAGGCTCTTAGAGCTGCCTGGGCTCACCAGGAAGTTGACACTGACCAAATATTAACAAAAGAAAAGTCTCAGATTACAAACTGTTAAAGTGGAATTATCACAGACAGAATTATGCAGTTACTTAAAGAAAATGAATTAAGAATGTGTTGCAGTGCAGCAAAGACTTTTGCAACATTTTGAGTACAAAACTTAACAACATAAGACAGGCAGTACTAAGAAAACACATGCAACAATTAGTTAGCTTTGGATAAATTACCTGTATGAATGTAGTCATCTGATATTATCTGTTCCCTCTTGGAAGTTACTGCTGGCTCCAGCTTCAGTGAAACAAAAAGCTTTTGTTTAGAAGTCATGGTTTGACCAAGGTTAATAAGTTGAATGCATCAGCTCTGAACAAGGAAGTTGATATGTTGCTGTTTGCACATGGGAGCAGTTTTCCCTCAGGGCTTTCTGCCAGGTTGATGCCATGTAAACTATGATCTTTTACTAAAACCTAACCAGCTAATTTTGCTGCCTAAACTTTACAAAACTCCATCTGAAAACTGCCTTTGTGTCAGTGAGGTATGAAGGTAAACTTTCCCCAACGGCTTGCAACATGGAGATGGGTTTAAACAAGTGCAGACAAGCTTTGGTTTCATTGTTGGTATTTATATTCAATGTAAATGTGTGCAGTAATTGTAGTTCAGACATACACTCAATTGTCAGTTTATTAGGAACACTGAGCAATAAATAATGCAGTCTAAGACAACAGTCCTGCAGTAAATCTTCTTTCATGAAGGTTTTTATTTCAGAGAGGTGTTGATTCAACTTTGTGATTGTTCTGGAGGATGTGGTTTGTGATGTTGTTGAACTCTATTACATTATACAAAGAGGTATGTCTGTTATACCCTCACTGATAAAAATGGGGTAGACAAAATAATAGAAACAACACTTGTTAGTTAAGCAGAGCACTTCCTATATGGTAACATGACAGATATACTGTATTGATGATGAAATACTTGTTGGTTGCAGCCGTACAGTATTCCTATACTGTAATAATATTAGATTTCACTCCAGCATTGCACCATCCTAACTGTATTCTACATGTATATTTTTTGTTGTATTTTATTTTACTATGTACATACTGTATAGTAGATTTTATTGTGTCATGTATGCATATTATGTTCTGTGTATACTACTGTATACTGTACTCACTTACCAAAAGTGTAAGTGCTAGTTAAGCAAGTTAGGGTGTTAGAGATAAACGATATTTACCATACTATACATTGTATGTTTGCATTTTGTTTTCCCTGCGTTTTTACACAATGAGTTAATGTTAGTGTGAAAAGGGGCCTAATCTGACCATAGTTTTTTTTTCCACTACACCTAAGTACCAATTGGAACTGGTTAGTATTTTAATATTTAGTAATTTAGTATTTCACCTTATTCAGCAAAACTATAGTGCCTAGAAAGTGTTGTTTTGACTTTTTCACCACTGCTTTCATCCCGGAATGCTGGTCACACTCTGGGTGTAATTCTGTATCTGACCACCGGGGTCAAACATGGTGCTGTGCCTTTAGCTGAGCACCGGTCCTGCGCAGAGATCTGCGCACAGTGACACCCCTGAACCAACACAACGGAAACATCACCTCCCCCGGTCATGTATGGTTTTGTAATAGTTCACTTTAACGACAGTGTTTGTCTTTAAACACGGTGTTGACAACGTCTAGTGCCGATATGAGCATGTTTACGTCTTTGTAATACAGTAAGGCTTCGTTTCGTTCAGTTCACAGTGAATTCACAGCGGTTAGCTCTTTAGCTATTGCTAGGTAACATTAGCTGTCAACAAATGAACGGTTTTCAGAGCTGGGACTGACAGACTGATAAAATCACTTCTGTTATTCTCTCGTTTTTAGGTCATTTAGCTCCTTCTTACCTACGAGTAATGTGTTATACAAAGACACTTATCTCACTCCATGTCACTGCTGATCATTACAAGGCAGAAAAAATGAATTTGACCTTAACTTTGAAACTTCAGCCGTTACATTGGCATGATTTACTCTAATTTAGTTAGGGTCATAAGGTTCACCTAGCTAATACAAAGCAAACTAGTACAGTCTAATAAAACAGTACAGTATAATCTCAAATAAAAACAGAACATTACAACCTTTATGAAGGAGGATTTATTGCAGGACTGTTGTATTAGACTGCGTGAGTTTTAAACATTTGTTGGTAGTAAACTGACAAGTGAGTGTAGGTCAGGTTGCTGATTGATTCAGGTTAGATTACTTAGTTAATTTCAAATTTGTATACAGCTGCAATGATTTGTCGGTCAACAGAAAGTTAATCGGCCACTATTTAGATAATTGAGTCAAGATGCTCTGGTTTCAGCTTCTTAAATTTTCTGGTCTCTTTAGTCGTCTGTGACAGTAAACTGAATATTTCTGGGGTTTTGAATGTTAGTCTGACAAGACATGACATCTAAAGAAGTCATCTCCTTTAGGAAATTGTAAAGGGCATTTTTCACATTTTTGCCATTTTCTTACATATTGTAGTCCAAATGACTAGTCAATTAATCTAATCTTAATTAATAGTGACAGATTAATCAATAATGAAAATAATCATTAGTTGCAGCCCTGTTTGAGTTACAGTGTTTTGTAACATACCATATAGTGAGAACAATATAGCCTGTTTGCTGTAGTTTTTTTTCAATTATGCATAGAATCATCCTGTAGATTTTTTCTTTTTCTTAAATTGGTTAAAAGTCTTTAATAGGTGTTTCTGCTTTGCTTCCTTGCAGAATGGACAATTCAGAGACCAGTCCATCCATGGGGCCCCTTGCAGTGCCGGACATTGGTATGGCACGACCCTCAGGCCCCCCTGGTCAGCTGTCAGAGTCAGCCAGGCCCTCCAAGCACAGGGGGCACCCATCTAAGTCACCAAGGAGACGGCGGGAAGGGAAGAGGTCGCAGCGACGGGGGGATGGTCATGAACAGCTGCTCTGGGAGATCGAGCGGCGGAGGTTGCCAGGCCAACACGAGCACTTGGAGCCCTCTGGGTCAACGAGCGACACAGCGGAAAGCTCACCTAAAAGGTTTGCACTGCAGGTTGCCAGGTGGTCTGCCATGCCACTGGCACAACTCTGCTGCCTAGGACCTGAAGTGATAGAGTCTTGACTCCTCTTTTTTTCCCCTCCTCACAGGAGAGCACACTTTCTACATGGACCATATCCAGCCACTCACTTCGGACCCAAAGCTTGTATTCTTCCCAACCCAACTTCAGTCATGTAAGCATGAGGGTGCTGAATGAGTCGAACTTTGTGTGTACAAACTGGTGAGAGTATACTCAGTTTTTTGGGGATATTGACACAGAATAGCTTGTGTAACCTTGTTATCTTGAGATAAGATAAAATACGAAAGCTGTTATTGGATGTTACATGCAATGGGACGGCTCACTGAACAGACCACAGATGCTTATTTTCAGCTGATTTCTGAGCTTGAGCTTGATCTGAAAACATCCACCGACAAAACTATCTACAAAATGCCTGTCATCCACCACACAAAGGAGAGAGACAAATGGTAAAGTAGAGAAAGGGAGATTGTTTTTTTTTGTATTATCATGTTTGAAATTTGGACCTCACTCACACAGAGGTTGCATCAAAGTGTCATAACAGTTAATGAATGACTTCAGCTGTTAGTACAGTGTAGGGTAAGCTTCATTTTATTGAGAAGACACAAGACATGGTTGAGAGGTAAGACATGGTATCATGGTGGCATTTGACTTAACTGTCAGGATCCAACAAACTAAGCTAAAGTCCCAAGACATTGTGTTTATGTAACAGTTAGTCTACACAGTCTACATAATGTCTGTTCCACCTTTTTGACCTATTCTGTTCTCTCTATCTCAGTGTATCTAACGTGTCTTTTTCAGACAGTGATGGTGTATGTATCTACATTTATGTGCTTGTATTTGTTTATTTATTCATTTTGTGTTTGTTTGTTTCTTCCAGGCACATCCAGGACCCAGCCAGCCAGCGGCTCACCTGGAATAAACCTCCAGTCAATGTGCTTGTCATCAGGAAAATTAGAGATGAGAGCTTGGTTGAACCTTTCAAAGAGCTCTGCAGGTTTCTAGTGGAGGTACAGTATTTGATTTACTGTACGGTTGATATTTTAAATGTTTTAGAATATGAAGGTTTTCTGAAGTTATTGTGTGAGGAGGCAGATGTATCTTGTTGACTAATCAGTCTAATGCCTATATGTTACCGCCAGCTGTGTGTGGTCTGATATCTAACAATTATCACACCGAGGGTTTGGCAGAGGGTTTGGCCTGAATATGTGTGCGTTAATAATATTTTTTGCATAAGTCATGGTGTGCAGACTTTTCAGTTTAACTTGTGAAACGTTACTTAAAATTTTCCACTCAAAGGCCAAATCTGATTGAAATCTGATTTTTTAATAATGTAAATATGAGGTGTATTCACATAGATAATTTAAGTTTGAGTTGTTGATGGAAAAAGTGCGTTTTGTGTTTCTCAATCATCATTCAAAATATAGGTCTGTCTCTTCCCATGTTTACATGTTTACACTCATAACTGATGTTTACAAGCTTTTTACTGCATCAGAAAACATTACAGATTTAGATTTTGTTTTTTTCCTGTGTTCTTCTACCGTCTCCGTCAATTTGAGGGCAATACCAGGCACAACTCTTGGTTTACATTCGGTGAACATTTTGTACCTTTCATAATGCACCTTCTTACATTAACCCTATTCTGTGTCAAAGAACAGATTGTGCACTGTGGTAGAACGCAGGAAATGGCCCAGACATGTCGGTGAAAGTTACAGTCTGGTAAAATGCAGTTATGACAACCACATGTGGCCAATAAACACTCATATTTGCATTCTATACAAAAACTGTCATTTTAAACTACACATGTTTGGCATATGCTCAACTTTATTTTGGAAAGCACTCCTTTGAGAGTTGTCTGTGTGTGTTTTGGCTGAAGTCACTAAAGCATGTCTTTGTGTATCAGGAGAAGCAGATGATGGTGTACGTGGAACGCAGGGTTGCAGATGATGCAACGCTGTCAAAGGATGAGGCCTTTGGCTCCATACGCAATCAGCTCTGCACCTTCAGGGAGGGTGAGAGTCCTGTGTGTCCTACCATCTCTTTCACAATAAAGACAAAAATATAAGTTACATAAACTCGATCAGTAGAGGAACAAGCAATATTATCCTTTACTTGGATGAAAATAAAAATACTATGATACTATGATGTAAAATATGCTGTTATGTACACAGTTTTACTTTCATGTGGAGTAAGTGAATCTTGAGAAAGACAGTGGTCTTTCAGAAGCTCTGCCCCCAAATTCATGGATGTGCATTGCCAAGGCAACAACACAGTGGCAGAATCCAGAGCATCTTATATGGCGTGGAAGTGGATACTCTTTCTCATAGCTGAAGCAAAACAAACCATATAATATAAAATTTCACCAAACATGCGACATGCACACAAACTCAGCATCCCAAACGCATCACAAAGAGAGTCGGTTGTTTAGATTGTTTTTTACAAAACTACAGTGACTAAAGAGAGGACAGAGAGTTTTGTAGCTAAGGTAACAAGAAAGGTAACATTACCTAGCATAGCATTTTGAATTGTGCATTAATTTTAAAAAAATCCACTGTGTTTGCAAACTTGTGTTTTTATGTCTGACTATAAAATCTTTTGCATGTTGTATGGACAAATATGACATAAAACATTTACAGAGCCAGGGCTGCGTGGGAACACTGGATTTTTTTCAGCTCACACACAGAACGAACAACTAGCAGACCACGAGATATTCACTGAATTTCACAAAAAGTATGTTGAATTAGAATCGCTCACTCTACCTTTAAACCACCAATAATAAATATTTTTTGGGGAGCTCAGCAGTGACATATCATTACCTTTCAAATTGATATTGTGAAATTGGCAACTTGTCAGCAAAGAACAGCATTATTTAATTCTTTAAAAGATCATAGTTTTACATATATAACTTATTTTGCAAAATAACCGGTCACAAAATCTGTGAGGGGAATGTAGTGTTGCCAGAAAGGAGTAAAACAAGGTCTCACAAAAAGAGAATGCTGAAGAAAGATACCAGTACATCCTTTCTTGTACTTGATTACAGTCCTGAAATAAATGTACCTTATTATTTTTCATTTCTTCTGCCAAAATTCAGTTTAGATCACATTAAAAAAGGAAAATATGTTAAAACTGTCTTTTCTTATGTAGTATCCATTGTTTTGCAAAATAACCGTATTTGAAGTTGTTTTCAAATAATAGCTTGAAGAGTGAAACAAAAAAATGCTCCTGGAGAGAGAACAAGTTTCTTCAAAACCTATTTTCCTGTCTCCTGGTATATTTGATCTTTTTGGATGAATTAGTGGCCACATATGGTGACTGTTTTCTCAGCAATCTTCAAAGTTGGCCAAGTCATCAGGTGTTCCCACAGAGAGCTTTCAGGACATTTTCTCTCTTTTGGCTTTTGACAGAGGAAAAAAGTGGCTGTTTTACTGCTACGGTTTGAATTAAGTTATTGAATTTTGTAAGTGGTGTAATAGCAATGTTTTTTGTCCACCTGCAGGTTATGATGATATCTCTGACTGCATAGACCTGATCATCTGTCTTGGTGGAGATGGGACTCTGCTCTATGCCTCCTCTCTTTTCCAGGTACAGATCACACTGCTGTTGGTTCATCACTACGCCCAAGCTGATCTCAGATTTTCTTGAGAACATTTTATACTAGATTTTTTATACTGTCAAATCTGCGATTAACATGTACAGTGCATCCGGAAAGTATTAATACTTTCCCCACATTTTGTTATGTTACAGCCTTAATCCAAAATGGATTAAATTCCTTTTTTTTCCTCATCAATCTACACACAATACCCCTTAATGACAAAGCGAAAAAGCTTTTTTAGAAATTCTTGCAAATTTATTAAAAATAAAAAACTGAAATATTGCATGTACATAAGTATTCACACCCTTTGCTATGACACTCAAAAGTGAACTCAGGTGCATCCTGTTTCCACTGATCATCCTTGAGATGTTTCTACAACTAGATTGGAGTCCACCTGTAGTAAATTCAGTTGATTGGACATGATTTGGGAAGGCACACACCTGTCTACAGTGCATGTCAGAGTAGAAACCAAGCCATGAAGTCAAAGGAATTGTCTGTAGATCGCTGAGACAGGATTGTATCGAGGCACAGATCTGGAATAAGGCTTTAACATAACAAAATGTGGGGAAAGGGAAGGGGTGTGAATACTTTCTGGATGCACTGTATTTTGATTTTAATGTGGTGTAGGTTTACTTTCTTGCTTTTACCTTTTTCTTTTCGAAAAAAGTAAAATGGAAATCGTATTTTTCAGTTTCTCATTTTAACTTTTACGAGAACCCTGGTCTTGTGAAGCAGGTGGAGTTACAGGCAGTCAGATGATGTTTCGAGACAGGAAATTCTGTGAAACTCATCAGAATATTTTGTGTTTTGTAGTGGTAATAAAACTATTGTCACCTATGTGACGTTGTCAGATTGCTGAACTTTTAAATGACACTTTCTGTGACTCTGTATCCTGAATATTTTGTTTACTGTATTATTGTTGTTAATAAGCTCTCTCATAAATGAATTTCTATAAGATGTACCATCACAGATTTTAAAGAAAAGTATGTTATTCGAAGTCTTTTAATAAGACCAAATGTATATCATGTGCTTTATATAGTTTGGTAAACAGATGATTTCAGGTGTTGAGATGCTGATGGTTTTGTGAAGGGTGAATCCAGCAGAGCCAGTCACACTGAGGTTTGTTCTCTTCTGTAGGGCAGCGTTCCTCCAGTTATGGCGTTTCACCTCGGTTCTCTGGGTTTCCTGACGCCCTTCAAGTTTGAGTCATACAAGACTGAAGTGGCCAAAGTATTTGAAGGTAGATTGCAGCTTTATATGAAATACTGGTTTAATGTTTCCTGTTGTTGTCATTTGTGTGTGAATGTAAAAACTAAATCTGTGTAATCTTCAAACTCATTCTCTCCTGAGAGGTTAGACCTAGAAACATCATCTTCACTTTTGTGTTAACTTGTCCATCTGCATGTGGGTTTTCAGGTAACGCAGCCATCACTCTGCGCAGTCGTCTGAAGGTGAAGGTGGTGAAGGACATGCTTCAGAGAACAGGCCAGCAGCCGTACAACCAAGAGCCCCCGCAGCAGCAACCAGAGCACAACGGACTCCTTCCTCACGGACACACTAACAGTGAGGCAGGCAAGGTCACCCTGCAGCTCCAGGTGAGGACAAAGATGTCCAGATGGAGATCAGTGGGCCAATAAGCCACTGGACATATTACTTACATCAAATAAGCTTGGTAGGGTAGATGTTTCAGTTTCAAAGTCCTTGAGAGTTTAGTTCTTTGTTGTTGAAGTGTAATAGAAGTCATATGCTAATAGTTTGGATAATAGTTGAGAGGTCAACAGAAAAGTGCTTGTTAAGATGAAAAATAGACAAACCAGATTAAAACACAGATAGCAGTCAGTCTCCACTCCAGGAACTTTACCTGGGACTCGGTTGCATTTTTAGAAATTTGGGAACCACGTCCTGCTCTGAGGCAGTACTTTCTGATGACCCACAAACTATTAGGTCGGAGACTGTGGTGCTGAATTTCGCTGATTGGTTAAAAAACAAACCCATGGCTGCTACAAGCTGTGTACAGCTTTATTCACACAATACGGTAGCACTATGTACTACCGTATTGTGTCAACTAGTTTGTTAAAAACAAATTTATGTTCTCAGCTTCGCAGAGAGATAAAGAGAGAGTGTATGTGAGAATGTGTTGCGAGTGTGAGTGAACCAGAGAAACAAATTTGCTGATTGTTTCATTGCAGTTACATATGAAAGAGGAAAGAAACTAAAAGAAGCTACATTTTCTGAAAACAATTTATGCTGAAATTTTGTAGTTGGGACTTTTGGAATAGTTGAAATTCAATTACAAATACTAAAGCCAGCTGAAATGGCACTTACAGTGATTAAAATGCTGAAAGAAGTTGACATCAATTTAAGTGTATGTGATAAATTAAGATGAAATGTTGGTGGAAGTGCTAAAAGACCTATAAGATTTATAAACTGAAAAATGATGTCGACTGAAAGCAGATGTTCACAGTGTAGGAACCGTGAAATTTGTGAGTTAGAAGAGCTGAAGACATTTTTTTTTGTAGTTCAAAGGTGAAGATCAGAGATCTGAGAGAGTTTGAAGTGTCAGCTGAAGTGTTAGAACTGAAATTAGTTCAAATGTCAGCTGAAGACAAAGAGATGGAAGCAGTCAAAATGTCAGGTGATGTGGAGGGGGTGAAAGTAGCTAAAAATTCATTTAAGAAGTAAGAAATATAAGTAGTTGGGGGGGGAAAAAAAAAAAACAGAATAAAGTCAGGTATTTACTAAAGCAGATAAATAACCTCAAGTCACTCAGCAGATTGTCCACTTTGTATCAGACACTCTCCTTTTCCAGCTCTGCATGCTTTCTTTGCATTCAATCCACTCGCACAACAGTACAACACAGAATACTGACTGTTGTTTCCTTTTGTGTGAAAGTTGCATCCCAAATACTGTCATTTCTTTTTATTGGACTAATTTGTCTAAATGTTCTGCAGATGCAGTGGAAATGCAAACAAGGGTGTGTAAAGGGAACTTTAATTCCTCTGGTTCCATAGTTCATGGAAATATTTGGTAAAAAAAAAAGAGCTGGTGTGACTGCATTTTGTCGTCTTTATTAATTCCTGATCATCACATGCTTCAAATGATGCTGTAAGCTCCATAAAGATGATGGTGTGTGTGTTTCATCCCAGGTGTGTTTGTGTGTGCGTACATGTGTACAGCTCAGCAAGCGCGAACATCAGCTGGGTTGCCATGGCGACAGTCATAATAAAGTTGATATGGGAGAGAAAGTCGGATGTTGTGAAGTTCTGTTGAGCCAGTTGCCATGGAGACCATGGCGTCTACAGTGCAGTCAGTATTTAATGAGCTCTGACGCTTTCGGTCTGACACACTCTAACTAAACAACGTGCCACACTGCTGCAGTCACACACACACACACACACACACACACACACACACACACAGACACAGAGTGCGGTAGTTTGTCATTTTCAGTACAGCTCTTTCCTCTCTCTCTGGGGCTTTTCGTCTCATCGATAAAAGACAGTGATGGATTGTTCTGGTCTTTCAACCAGATTTTGACCTCACATTACATCACGTCTGCTGTGTCCACCAGCAGGATGTTTGCGTTGTGCTCAACTGACGTCAGTACATCTGCCAGACATCACTGCTCAGCGCCGCAGTATTTTGTGTGACTGACTGAAGTGGGGAACATGATCTGTACGCTGCCTGTCTGCACACTAGCATTTTTCTCTGCTTGTAGTTTCCTCATATAATGTGGGATTGTACTTGGGTCTGCGGCTGGCTGATATATTATTGTTATTGAACTGCATTGATGAAATTTACTCTCACATTTACTGTCTATGAAAGGGAATTACATATTGAAGAATGACCTTTTGTGAGGATGGATGTTGTGAGGATATACATCCGAATCTAGTTGTTCAGTGTCTGGTGGCTGCACAGTTATGTCAAGTTATTCCGCATCACATTAAAGGCAGTATAGTTGTCGTTTTGTTTTTAATAACTTTACTTGCTTGTTTGTTCGCTGGATGTCTCAAAAAGTAATTAAGATATTCCAGTGAAATTTTGGTGCATATTTAGGCCATGGACCAAGGACAAACTGATTTAGTTTTTGGTGTAGATTGCGCCACCATGTGGATATTTATAAAACACTTTACATTTAATTTAGTTTCTTGGGCTTGTACTGATTTCAAGATCAGTATATCACCACCCATTTCTACATGAAAAGATTTTTCACCATTTTTAACTTTCATAGCCCTCCTTCTGTACTTTTCATTCAGTCTGTGTCATAGTTGGCACAAAACATATATTTTCTGAACCTTGAACAAAAGCCATTCATATATATATATATATATATTTTTTTTTGTGTCCATTTTCCTGTGTTTAGAATCCTAAATGTACATTTTTGCATGTTATACTATATAAATACATAAACACATGAAAACATTTATGGTATTCGGTCTATAGATGGCACTGCTGTAACTTATTTGATTTCTGTGGTCAGAAGTCAGTGATCATGAGTTTCACTTTGCCAGTACAAAGCCTTAATGTTCCCAAACAGGATTTAGACTTTCTTCAAAATTGACATGAATATATTTCACCATTTTGATTTATTGACCGATCCAGTGTTAAAAACTATTGAAACATCACATTGGAAGACTTAAGTCATTAAGATATTTTCTAATAATGTTAACCACGGTCTGTGTGTTATACAGGTGTTGAATGAGGTGGTGGTGGATCGAGGCCCGTCTTCTTACCTGTCCAATGTCGACTTATACCTCGATGGACGACTCATCACCTCAGTGCAGGGAGACGGTGAGGACAGACATACACCTGTCCCCTGCCATTTGATGTCACTTTTTTGCAATGGGGTCACAATGTGTAACATGGAGACACAAAGTATTATACAAATGAATCAAATATGGTAGATCAACATGGTGAACCGCCTCCCTGTCTCTGTCCTCCAGGTGTGATTGTGTCCACACCTACAGGCAGCACAGCATACGCGGCTGCAGCAGGAGCATCAATGATCCACCCCAATGTGCCCGCCATCATGGTCACCCCCATCTGCCCACACTCGCTCTCTTTCAGGCCGATCGTTGTCCCTGCTGGGGTGGAGCTCATGGTAATGTCTCACTGTAACGTAAACAGCAGTCCCTTCATGCACACCTGGCAAACGCTCACCTGTTGACTATCTGAAATTCTAAAATGGTCCTCTCACTTCTGAAGGGCAGTGTCCTTCAGTCCCTGTTGATATTTCACTACAGTAGCATATGTGTTTATTCTTCTGAGGTACAGTATTCAAGGTCTCTGCTCCCTAATTGATGCTGACCTCTTTACAGTTCACTAACAAACGACCTAAAGGGACGGCACTTTCATGTCCCTCTACCATGGTACATGATAAACAGGACAGTATGTCATCATGCTGGCATCTGTGGCTCTGTAGACACACTGTTGTCAACTCAATAACTGAAGTAGAAACTTCACACTTATCCCACTGGTACTCCATATGGAGTAGATAATATGATTAGATTTTGCCTTGCTGCATACATTTGCATATTAATGAGGTAAACTTCTGTTAGCATCATTAATGAAAACTACTAGTATTTTGAGCATACATGCTCTTCTATCAAATTAACTTGCCACTTTTTAGCCATGCTAGTGACATGGCTCTAGGGATGGTAATGTCAGTGAGTCAGTGCACTGCTTTGGTCCAGACTGAAATATCTCAACAACTGTTGGATGGATTGCTGTGAAAACTTGTAGAAGTTCATGTTCGCAGAGGTTGAATCTGACTGACTTTTCCTCTAATGCAAGTTTGGATGAATTTTCATGAAATTTGGTACAAATATTCCAGTCACCCCTTAAGATTAATACTAATCACTTTGGTAAACCTTTAACTTTTCATCTGGCACCATCATCAAGTCAGAATTTTGATTTATCCAATATCTGCAAAATTAATAACCTTCCCTCATTCCCCATCAGCCTCATCTCTACTTTGTGTTTACTGTGAATTAGGAAATATTAGCATGCTAGCATGCTAGATTAATATGGTGATCATGGTAAACATTACACCTGCTAAACACCAGACTGTTAGCATTGTCATTGTGACCATGTTAACATGCTGAGATGAGCCTCTAGTTCAAAACACCACTGTGCCAAAGTAGAGGCTAGCATTCTGTCCTCTTCTCTCCTACAACAGATCACTTTGTCTCCAGATGCCAGAAACACTGCCTGGGTGTCGTTTGATGGCAGGAAGAGACAGGAGATCCAGCATGGAGACTGGTGAAGTTCATTCACTGTCATTATCTGCTGGCGTGTCCAGATCTCTCTTTTTCCTCATTTTAGGATTAGGATTAATTTGCCTTCTGTTTCCCTCCCAACAGCATCAAAATCACTACATCTTGTTACCCCGTGCCATCTATCTGTTGCCATGACCTGGTGTACGACTGGTTTGAAAGCCTGGCTCAGTGCCTGCACTGGAACGTACGCAAGAGGCAGGCGCGACTGGCAGACATCTCGGATTCATCGGACACTGAAAACTGAGTCAGCGGGTGTTTTGACGTACCTGAGTTAAAGACATCCAGCCGACGCTCTCCACAGCAGCTGAGTAAGTGAGAACAGAAGGATCAGGTTTGTTCCGAGACGACAATTAGGTCACCCTGCAAACATTTTCCTGACAGAAACACTCGACTGTGACAGTGAGAGCGCATGTGTCTTCAGCCAAAGCAATGTTACATTAGTCGTATGAATAGCATGTAGAATGATCATACTGTATATTCAGTATTTTATACACTGAGTCATCATCTCATTACATTCCAGTATATACACACTGCAGTTTCATAGCTTACAGGGAGAACGCATGTCTCTCAACTTGGATATGAAAAAAAGTCTATTGTTACTTAAATGATACATGATGCATAATCCTGTGATGTGATCGATGAAGCCTAAAGCTCTTCATGAATATTCTGAAAACTCTTTTCTTTGGACTTGAATCACTTACTCATCAATGTGATGATCAGTGTATAAGATGTAGATGTTACTAGCATGACTGTGAGGTTATAGGTAGAAATACACTGTTAACACTGAAATTAAGCAAAAGGATTGTTTCTTCTGAACTTTAATGTAAATTTGTACATACAGGATTCTAGGATGAATTTATTTTATGTCATATTTATGTAATATTTAAATTTATTTCTAATACTGAGTCAACCAAAGAGTGCTGTATGTGATTGTTCTCTGCTGTACAAACATATTGTACAATTTTCTCAGTCCTTTACATCCTACTATCTACGTGTCCTGTTACTGACATTTTTAAGTTGTTTTCAAAACTTTTGTGCCCCAGTCTAAATTCTGCAGAAAGATTGCATGTAGCAGGGATAAACGAAATGAATCGGAGAATCCTAAACCAGCTCTCATTTTCATGACCGTTAAACTGTCAAAGTCTGTAGCAGGAGAAGGTAGTGAGAAAATAAATTCCTAAAAACTTTCCAGCTTTTTTTGGTTTAGTCTGATCTTTGTGTGAATCCAAATTTTCTGAGTCATCCTGCAGATTAAGTTCTTGATTTCTTTCTGATGTTTTTCAGACCAAAAAAATTAGTCATTGAATACCCATAACAATATCCCACAGTGCCAGGTAATATCATTAAATGTGTTTGATCAAAAGTTCAAAACCCTGAAATATTGAAATAACTATAAAATACCAAGAAAAACATCAAATCCTAACAACTGGAATGATCAAATTTTTTTGTATTTTTGCTTAGAAAATGATGATTAATTAAACAATAACTTATCATAATAATTGGCTTCTTTTGATTGACTTATTAATTGACTAATTGTTGCAGCTCTGACAACCATTCTTATTTGACTGTAGAAGTAATAAATCAGAATGCATTTTTTTTTTTTCGATTTATTGATTAATCATTTAATCTATGAAAGATAAAAAAAATTGTCAAATGCAATACCCAAAGATATGAACTGAAGATTGCCACATTGGAATTTTAGGAATCTTTGCTTGAAAAAGACTCAAACAATTAATCGATTATCAAAACAATTAGTTTATTTTTTAACTGTTTGTTATTGTCTGTTAGCCATAATATATTTATAGGTAACTACAGCTAGGGATCAATGTCACACCTCCAGTGTTTATTGCTGCAACCATTGATGGATGAACGGGCCCTCTGGGCACAGGTCCAGGGGCCTCTCGAGCCCCTGGACACAGCTGTTGTTGTTTTGTCTCTTTCAGTCATAATCAATCCAGAGCTGCAGTTCACGAATTATTATTGATTGATCTGAAAATTATTTTTCCATTAATCATATTGTTTTTTGCTCGAGATATTTCGTCGTTTAATAAAGACGACAAAGAAAAACTGCAAATACATTTGAGAAGCTTTAGCCTGTACATTTTTTGGCACTTCTGTTTTAAAATTGACTATTTATTTATCAAAACAGTTGGAGATCATCTGTCCTTCAACTGATTTAGTTAATTCTTTTGGCTCTGGTACTGTGTAACCAGAAATATCCCAGAGAAAATACCACAGTACTCATGTGCTTTCTATATTTTTATTGCAATGATAAGATACAGATATATTTCCAGACATCCAATTTTATTAAATTATACTCCAATATTGCATGAGACAGTCTTCAGAATGACACTGATCCAAATGTGGACAACTAGGTGATCAAAAGACAGTTTTTGACCGGAGATAAAACACGGATGTTTTACAGTTTCACTTTTATTTCCCCCAGAAATGTGCGATGAGAAGCAGCAGCATAGAGAGTAATAATACTACAATATACAACAGACCGATACTGTGCAACAGTCAAGAACAATTGGGAGAATAATTTATTTTCTCTCTTTTGTGAAATAGTTTTGCCAATATTGAGTGATTGGCAACTCGGACACAGAGATGCACTTTGCCCGTTTGGGGAGAAAAAAAACAAACAAAAGAACTAAAGTAGAAAACAAACAAGAGCAACAACATGGTGGTGTCTGAGTTAGAAAGTCAAAGAGCTACAAACCTCAGAGGGATTACAGGGGAACAAATGACTGAATCCGAGAGATGAGTTCATTTTTAGGCAAAGCAAAAGGACAACTGTATGGACTATGGAATATATTAAAATATTGTTTTTGCCACGTCAGATTATGTGGGAAAGGGCAGGTTGCTCTCAGTCTTGCACAAGCCACTGGTTTTATAACGTCAGTTTAACGACTGACTGTTGTTAGTGAGAGAAATACAGATGTGGCAGCGCACAACAAACCAACCAGGTCACACATTCAATGTTACTGTGGCAAGTATAAAAAAAAAAACAACAAAATAAACAGATGCTGATATCTAATAAATTCCCGCAGTTTTCTAATCCCAGATGTTACCTTTTTAAATAATGAGTACACTCTTGATGATCGTATAAAAACAAAAATTAGCATTATAAACACTTAGGAGGTATAATTATTATTCCCAATACAAAAGAAAAGGAGAGAAAAAGCTGTTTTATAGACTAATTATTGTATGTATATATTTGATATATCAATAGAATCCATATATAAATGATACATTTCTATTTTTTATACTTAAATATAATCCTCGCTATGACTAAAGAGAGCATCTAAGACATTTTCTAGCCAGAAGATAATGTGAAAGAACAGCTTGGACCACGGCCGGCGGGTACTGGGCTTCGATTGGGAACGAAACTGTCGAGCTTGTACCGGCCGGCGGAGCTGGATTCATGAACAACGCCCACTATTTTCACATGTGACAGCTTGTGCGAGACTAGACAGGACTGGTTTGGATGAGAGTCTAGTGCGAACACCTTTTTTAAACGGTTTCATTGAGACCAAAAATATTTATTTAGCTAGACATCAACAACCTTATGCTGTGCTTTTTTTTTTTTCTCTTGTCAAAGATGTGAAAATTTTGAGGAGCATGACACTGCAGTTACAAAATGATCAACGAATTAACAAAATGTACCCCTCGCTCTCACACTCCATGTTAAGTCAGCATGCATAACATCATTATTAGTTGTGTTTGGCACTAGAGTTTGCTTCACTTTTAATCTAGTTCTGTTTGCAAATAAATCTTCGATCTTATATCTTCTAGCTTTAGTTGTACAACAAATGCTGCAATTGTTTTTTAAAAAAAGAAAATTAAGTGCGCCAGCTGTGTCCCAGTTGCTCACATTTAATCCTAAAGATGAGTCCCACATTATTAAACATAAAATGTGAGAGGATTGCACTAAGATCATCAGCCATTTCTTAAAAAAAGTTTCTTACTGACAATGGCAAGTACCTCAAAGAGCCGTACTACTCTGTTCTCCAAATTCTTTACCCAGCCACAATGTTTTTTTTTTTTTTTTTTTTTTTTTTTTTTTTTTGTTTTGTTTTTTTGTAAACTACAGGATTTGGTCCACCCGGTTTCGTTTCAAAGCAGACACGCATGTTAGTTTGCTTTAGGTGCTGCCTGAGAAAGCTATCAGACCCGCTGGCATTCAACAGGATGTGAAGCGTGCTCCTGCAATAGACTGATCTCCAAAACAACAGAAAGAAAAGGGGCTTTCAGGCTACCTCCAGAACTGTCATGATTGTACCAACAACATGGACGAGGATTCGGATTCGGACAAAGTAGCACGTCTTCTCTTGTGGGTCAGTTTAGCTTGATAGCTCTCACTCATTTGACCTCACTTACAAAACATCCAAATGAAATTAAAGACTGTGGACATAAATAAAAACATTTTGAGCTGAAATGACAAAGAAAAAAGCAACTTCTTGACATGAGAAATGAAGAAAAGGAGAAAAAAAAAAGAAAGATGTTGTTGGTCTGATGGGATTTTGTTGACAACTTCCTCAGGCAAACGTCTGGTGGCAGTTTTCATTTGAACATAAATAACATTTGGGTGGGAGGAATCAGATCCACCGTAAGGCTTCTTCTTCTATTTGTTTTTTTTTTTTTGTTTTTTTTAACATTTTTTTTCCCCCATTGTCATAGCCGTTAACTTTTCAGGGTTGTGTCTATCCTGGTTCTGGTCTATCGGTGCTGTTTTAGTGGAAGATCTCAACAAGAAGAGATGGAGGCTCTCCTCGGCCTCAGCGGGCTCAGAGAGGCCGGACTATCAGGTCCTGCATCACAGGAGGGAGGGAGGGAAGGACAGAGAGAGAAAAGTAGAGAGTGATGGGATTGTAAGAAGTTTATGTTTCAGCAGTCTGGGCTTTAGTCTCACTCCCACCCTCTTCTTTACTCTCTTGCGTTTCCTGGTCTTCCTCCTCCTCCTCCTCCTCCTCTTCCTCCTCCGTGTGCTGCTCCAGCTCTTCTCTGGTGATCATCTCAAAGTCGTTTCCGTTGCTGTGTTGCGAGCCCTCGTCCTCACGCCGGTCGCTGTCTGTGTCTGAGTGGCGGTCCGGCCCCGTTCCCTCCCCCTCAGCTTCTTTACTCTCCTCTCGTCCTGTCTCTTTGCTCTCCTCCTCTTCCTCCTCGTCTTCGTCATCGCCGTCCTTCTTCTCGCTGTCTGACTTCTCGTCGCTGTCCGATTTCTGAGCCTTGGTGGAGGCGGCGCTGTCCTTCTCGTCGGTCTTGTCGGAGCCCTTCTTGTTGCTTGCTCGTGGTCCTTTGTACTCATGAGTGTAGAGCGGCCGGAACGAGTCGATGAAACCAACGTCTGCTGTCAAGTTGGGGAGGAACCAGAAGTGATGGCGCCCACCGGTCACCAGCCAGATGATCAGGAAGAGGATGCAGCGGGCTGAGGAGACAGGAAACAACCAGTGAGATTAAATCTTAAAATACAGCAATTTAAATATCAAACAGACAACTGTCTTCACCTTTAGTGTAAATCAAATGTAGATCAAAACTTACCTAGTACTTTGGTCTACTTGTATCTTGTTTCATTTTATTTTTACTCAATTTTATCCCTTTTAATTGACTTTATTCTATCTTCTTTATCTTGCATTTTAAATACAATCGTAATGCATTTGTATCTTTATATAAAGCACTTTGAATTGCCCCTCTGCTCGATAGGTGCTATAAATGCTACAAATAAAGCTACACAACAATTGCAACTAAGATTTTTAGCAGATACATTTTCTTAGTTTTTAGTTTAGTTAAATGGCAGTAGATGTCTTTCAGTACATTTAAAACCATTTTAAGGAGTCCAATAGGCAAACAGATTTCTTTGACCACATACTTACCGACAGCTAGAAGCAATATACTGGCAACGAAGCAGCCTGCTGCAACACTTAGATAGTAAACTCCTACACGCATTTCTGCTGGCCACAGTGGGAACAGAGTGGCTGCAATCACTGCGATGACTGAAACACAGAACACACAGACGGTGTGAGGATTAAAAAAAAAAAGATAAAATCAGTTGCAGTCAGAAACAGATACTGATCAGCCACAACATTAAAACCAGTTACTTGTTTGTACTATTGTCCATATAGTGTTTTTTACTGAGTGTCATTTTTCAATTGTTCCCAAAGAGGAGAGTGTGTGTGGCCACATGCGGCCACACACACTCTCTGAACTGTTCAGAAAGGTGCTGGTGTTCATCAGATGGGACGGACCTCGTCACCATGGTAACCAAGACCAGACAACTGAATGGCAGAGGTGATATGTTGAAAATTGCTATGTGGACATACACCCTAAGCTATGATATTTAGGCTAGGCTAATATTAGCTGATACTGTATAAATCATGTTTGTGTAGGCTCAATATTTTTTAAAAGCCTTAATTTTACATCAGCCACAACATTAAAAGAGGTAACTGCTTTTAATGTAACCCTCCATTCACTTGTTGTTCAGGAGAACATTCATCAGTGACTCACCGAGGATCAGCCCCATGGCAAACGTCTTGAAGTGGACAGGATCATAAATCCACACGTAAACCTGAAGTTAAGAGGCACGTTTGTGTTTACACTGTCTTTGAGCATTACAAACACTTATATATATTTGTTCTCTCTGCACACTCACCTCATTTCCATCCAGGAACATCTGATCCTCGTGGGGCTCCAGTTTAAACTTCTTTTTCACTTCTTTCTTCTTCTTGGGGGTTCCAGGACTGTCATCCTGTTAATTCAAATAAAGATTACACTACATTACAGTTTTATGAATAAGAATCTAATTTACTCAAAATAAAATGTTTTAAAGGGACAGTGTGACCTCTTGGTTAGTGGACACTTTGCCAGAGCCCCCTGAATGGTCTCATTCAAACGAATGAGAGAGCAAAAGTCGGTCAGGGTGCGGCCTTACATCCACATAAGCCAGTTAAATTTGTGAATGCATCTTTTTTTCTCTCCATTTCAGCCTAAGGTACGAAAGTGACCTGAGGCAGCTCAGCGAGTGTCAGGAGCTGTGAAGCAGTAAAGTTAAGAAGACGCCAATAGAGCCAAATATACAATGGAGCTGCTGTCATCGCAGATGTTGATTTTGTCAGATGACGTCATGATTATAGAATGACTGTAGCACAGCAGCTTGTGAATGACTGCTGCTCAATATGAACAAAGAACAGCCGTAGTCATTAATCTCTATCTATGTTGATTCTGTTAGAAAGTCTTAATTAAAAGCAGCATTTCAAATAGTGAAACTGGCAATAGACTGATAACACAATCAAAAACAGCAAACAGGCATTTGGCACAGAAATTGAATCTGTTAATTTTCCAGTCAGTAATAATTTCTGTTTTCACTAACCCAGACCAGACATCATGTACACATGAGCAGCTTTTTTCCATGACTTCTACAGATCTGTCACTCTGTGTACTCTAAACCTGTACAGCAAAGTCAATATCCACCCCCATTTACTGTCGGGTCAGGAGGCCGATCAGATCAGCCGTGTCATGTTAACTCTGACTGGTCATAGAGCAAACATGCTACACACTGAAAATCAGTCTGGGGAACGTCTGTGCACTGTGCTACACTGATAACCCTGCTACAAATGGATCCCATTGTCAAAGCAGTAAAAATGCTCCATCAAACGTTACTAGCGTTCAACAGTAAAGCAGAAACAAATGGCTGTGCTGTTGTCAGCCACTATATTTGAAGCAGAGTATGCATCACATTTCTTATTGTGCTATATAACTGAGCTTCCAACAGTAATAAAAGTGTCTTGTTCGGACAGGTATGTGTGGCTTTATCTTCTAACAGAGGGTGAGAGTGTTGGGTCACGTACGCTTTTCTCTTTCTTGGTTTCAGCAGCTTCAGACTCTTTCTTCTTCTCTTTCTCCTTCTTCCCTTTTTTCTCCTCCTCTTTGCTGCTGTCGCCTTTGGCCTTCTCTTTCTCCTTCTCTTTCTCTTTCTTGGCGTCTTTCTCCGGTTTTTTCTTCATCACTTTGAGAGCCCGGTGGAAGAACTGCTTCTTTAGAAGTCTACAGAGGAAGAGAGAGAACGTCTGATTATTAAGGGCCAAAAACATTTATTTATTTTGGATCATTACTGTTCAAAAGGAATCACCGGCACTGTGCACAGGCTCAAGTCTAAGAAAATTATAATTTCAAGCCATGATTAATTGAAATTAATCAGCATATTTAAGCAGAAATGCCAAAAACTTGTGTTCCAGCTTCGCAAATGTTTGCTGATTTGCACCTTCTATGTTTTCGGAAATTGTGATGGACAGTCACTAGTTACTGGATTTTAGAAAATAATAAGTAAATTCGTCTGTAATGATAATAACCGTTAGCGGCAGCACTACATGCCAGAAACCATATTGTGTGTGTATGTATCCTAATGCTTGGATACCTTGTTTTGGAATAAAATCCTGCCCATGAATAATGATTTTTCATTAATGTCAGAAGCCAACCTGTTGCAGTAATCCAACACAGACTCTCTGGTGGTGAATAGAGCCTCCTCTCCCTTCTTAGCCTTGGCCCACTTGGAGTCCAGCAGACAGTCCACTGCCTTGGAGGCTAAATGTAGGGACATTTAAGACAGACATTAGAAAAACATACAGTGTCACTGGGCCTGAAAATGTCATGCGGTGATTGTCTTGTAAATTATTCAACTTTAGCTGAAAATGTGTCATTAGTGTGAAAGACTTTATAGCCTACAATTATACTGTGCAAAAGTTTTAGGCACAGATGTTTAAAAATTTTTTCCATTACACAATAAAATCTGGGAGGTATCTCATTAGTCCCAAATTCATTCTGCAGCTGCAACAATGACCCAAAATACACAACCAGAGCCAGAACTATCTCCAGTGACAAGAAGAACAAGGAGTCCTGCAACAGATGGAGTCAGTCTGGGATCACATGAAGAGACAGAAGACACTGAGAGAGCCTAAATCCACAGAAGAACTGTGGCAACTTCTCCAAGATGCTCGGGACAACCTGAGCGCAACTGTACCAAGGAGAACTCATTGTAGCAACTTTAAAAATGGCTGCTCATCCATTTATTTGACAACAAGTGTAACAAACGAAAATAATGGCTCCAGGTTGTAGACATACAGCAGCTGACATCGACATGTGATGGTGATGATGAGAGGAATAACTGGCCTCAGCAGTCATACCTTAACCAACTGAAACCACTGAGTCAACAGCATTTCCCAAAATGACAAAGGGATTCTCACGTACCACAGAAAATGACAACTATAAATACTGTGTGGGAGGAAAGTGAAGCGGAAACATTTGTTTAAGAATTTGACAACTGTTCAGCAACGTGGCACAGACTTTTCAACACAGCAGTGGCTTCATTTACTGTGAAAAATTCAAACACGACTGAATCTGTTCAGTAAACACGTCAGTCTGTGTGTTCGACAACAAACAAAGGGCAGGTTTTTTTCGACAGTTATCTCCTGAGTCACACTCCCACCCAGAGCTGAGGTTGTGTGTTGCCATCTTTGCCTGTTGCCTCACAGAAAACGAACACTAACCAATGAAGTAGTCGACTCGGTGGCCCATCATGTTCGTGGACTTGGTGGGGCAGTTGAATCGGAGGTACTTGGCCACTGCCTTCTCCTCCTTGGTGGGCTCGCTCACCTCCTGCAGGGCCAGACAAATGCACACAGATTAAGACTCACACCCACCCACCCACACACGCACACGCACACGCACACACGCGCACACACACACACACACACACACACACACACACACACACACACACACACACACACACACACACACACACATACATACAGAAACAAAATCACAGTCACAATCTGGTAAAATGATACCTTATTATATTCTGGCACTGAACTACAGAAAACCAACAGTAAATCTCACAGCTACATCTAGAGTTGGATACAGAGGTGAAACAATTGATTAATTGATTAGTCAAATGAAAGAAAAGGTCAGAAATTACTCAAACCTAAGTTTTTTCACTATTTTCTGATGTTTTATAGTAAAAAAAAACAAATTGATTAATTGAAATAATAATCACCAGATTACTCAATAATGAAAATAATTGCAGGACTGGTAAGATAATTAACAGAACTGATCAAATTATTGACATTCAAAACATTTTAACAAACTATAGATCCCGTTAAATTAGACTGAGAATAGATACAAGAGCCAATTATATCTATTCAGACATCAGTCAGCTCAGTTCAGAAGTTGAGAATCGAATCAATAACTGACCGTACTGAATCAATCAGGACAAACCTGAGAAATGAGCCAACGCAAGGCAGGAAATATTATACATTCACATATGGTGTTATATTTCTTGTTATTAATGTAAGAGTGACCACTGATTGTTGGATGTATCATCTAGCTCTGACCACATCACAAGATGATAAAGGCATTTACAAGCAACCCATACAACATAATGCCATAAGAACCGTGTGCAAAACACTGGTACTACCTGTGAGACGCTTGTTGACTGTGCCAGAGTGGTTTTACAGTTGCTCTCTATTTTGCAGTGTTGTTGAATTGTGCATTGTTTTATCTTGAGGTAAAAAAACTACCTATGTGTACCTATATATTAATACAAACTATGGCCTCAATAACGATTGACTGAATGTTGAACATCATGAACTTCAATAGAAAATGAAAATAAGGGGTGAGTCACTACTGTAAAATCAGGTTACAGCCTTTTAATTTATCCAACCAACCTCATACTACCGTTGAAACAGGTAATGACTCGGTCTTTACCGTCCTTTAGCACCAAAATTAACACAATGGCTTTATCTGCAGGCAGCGGTGCTGGGATATTTGATTCTTTACATAACATTCCCAACTTTTTGTTATCATATCTGAGCAGTAACTGCAACAAGAGGAAGACTAGGCCATCAAACAAGCCTTTGTTTAAAGATGCAGGTATCAGTCACACAGCTCAGTTACATGACACCCCTACACAGAAAGCCCCGTCACCGTCTGTAGGATCCACCTGGCTTGATGCATGAGGATTAGCTGGTCTCTTCTAACCGTGCGCTTATGAAGCAAGCAGCTCTCAGGTCTTGGTCACAGCCATAGTATGTGAAGACTGTCTGCTAGTGCACCACACCAAGGCCGGTCTGTTAAAATCTATATCCAAGTTACAGTTTTGGGTAGAGATGTACCCCATCTCAACCCATGAATGCTGTAAAGCACAATGATAAATGGCGCTTGCATAATCCATACTAATTATGATTAAAAAACAAGATAACTGTTATGTAATGTAGACTGGTGATCTTGGGAAGTTTTCATTGTGGTTCACTCATTAAGGAGTTAACAGTATGTGTTGTTATGCAACTGAACTTGAACATGCAGAAACCTGCACTTGGTTGGGTGGTATATTAAGAACACCTACCGAAAACTAATGTACTCTAATACCCTGCAATAAATCCTTCCTGCATGAAGGTTATAAAAGTGGCAGCTGTTTTAGAGAGGTCTTGATTCAAGTTTATGGTCATTTTGGAGACTATAGTTTGTGGTACTAAAAAATGTGTTTCTAGTATTCAGTCGACCCATGATCGATTTAATTTGAGTGGACAAAATGCAGGCCTGTAGTATTGGAGCACTTAGTATCTGGATGTGCCAAGTGGCTGGCAAACAAGTATACATCCATGTAATAACTGCGGCTTCAAACTCAGTTAAATTCTTGAAAGCCGTGATGTAAAGCACAATTAAACAACACATTTGAAAAATAAAGAGGAATTGCATCCAAACAGGAGATAGCTGTTGTGTAATGCAGTGTGATGATGTTGGTAATGGACAAGCCTCTTTTGGTTGCAATATACTCATAAATGAGATAACAGAATATTTGCAATGCAGCTGAATTCGAACGGCAGCAGAATTATAATGTCTGCCAGACACCCTGCTCACAATAGGCAAATTCAACATTCTCAATCATCTATAACTGAAACACATGGAGGGGAAGTTATGTAAGATGGGTGGTTTTGTCAGACACTATAAAGTCAACTGTCATTGATGTTAAAAATTAGAGGTACCTCTCAATATAACAGAGTAGAGTTCAACAGAATCACAAGCTACAGCCTATAAAATGGCCTCCTGGAAAAAAATAAAGAAGTGAAAACTACAATCTTCAGGGAGGCAGGATTTACTTGAGAAATGTGTTCGAACTGAATTACAACACATGGAGTAAAAACAATTCAGCTGTTCTTATCCCACTGCTAGGACACAACTGCTTTGTTCCAGTTCCATACTAGTACATACTAACTATATACAGTATGTACTATAATAAATTTCCAAAAGTAATGTAGAATTCCTATCATGGTTTCCCAGAGCCCAAGGTGACATCTTCAAATGTCTAGTTTTGTCCAAAGAACAGTTCAAAACCCAAAGACATTCAGTTTACAACGCCACATGACAAAGAAAAACACTAAATCTGTACATGTTAGAAGCTGGAACCAGCAACTGCTTGACATTTTTACCCAAAAAAGTTACCAAACATGAAATAATTAATCATTATCACAATAGTTAAATAATTCTCTGGCAATCGAAACAACATCAAAACCTACTCAGAGGACGTTCATAGAATCAAACTGAGACACAGCTGATTTTTGAATGAAATCTAATCAGAGCCCGTTTCTCTCAAACTTTCATTTAAGATGTTTCTAAAGTATCAACATAAAAGTAAAAAAAGTTCTTCACTGAGTCAAAGTACTTAGACACATTTATCAAGTAACTTACTCAGAGAAAGAAAAACGATCAGACATATAATCTAACACTACATCTGCGCTTATGTACATAAAGTTTCAGTATAGTGGCTTTTGAGCTAGACCTGGTCGAATGTGGTCCATATGGGGTGAAAAAACAAAATCAGTAAAATCGCCCTTTTTTGTGTTTTCAGTAATAGAAAAAAGGTTTCACAAATCTGAAACTGGTATACCTGTTGATCAGGTCCAGGTTTTACATGTTCATGTGTTGATCTGTACTTTCCAGGTGACTAATGTGGAATTTTGACCATTAGTGTCTGGCTATGATGGAATAACAGATTAGAAATGTGTATTGGTTTGGGAAAGGCTTGAGATCGAAAAATAGAACTACTAAGACTGATTTTTTGTACGTGTATACGAATGGTGTTTAAGTTGAATGAACCTGTAAGCACTCTATAAACTGTTGCTTTAACTGAGATCAGTGATCTAGTCTTTCCACTTCCTTGCTGCTACCTGCACAGTAATGTACATTGTGATTCACTGTGTTGACCCAATATATATTATTAAATATATTGCAGAAGTAAAATTCGCACAGATTGCTCCACGTTATGTAAACACGTCTGGTTAGAGCTGACGCAGCTTAGCCAGCAAACCTTTAGAGCCAGTTCAATCCCAATGAAAACGGTTAACTCTAGACAGCTCAGTAGTGTAATAACGTTGCTAGACTGCGTATATCAGCGTGTAAGAGCTACCGGTAGTGAAGATAGTAATTAGCCCGGAAATGTCTCTTCCAAAAGAAATACTGACATTTGTTTTCGCTAGCCAGCTAAAGCTAGCTACCTTTAGCCATCATTTGGCTTCATCCGCCGCCTGTTAACGGCTCCACAAGGGGATACTGCCGTTAACAATCGTCCCGCAACAGGTCGTAAACCTGCGCCTGATTTTTTATTTGTTGTTCTTCATCTGACATGGACAGTGATTTTTTAAGAACTAAATGATGTTACCTGGATCCGTTTCTTGTGTCTCCTGCGCTCCGCCATGATCCTCCAACTCAGCTCCTCCGACGTGCGCGAGGCGGCGCACGCGCACAGCATGAAGTATCGCGAGACTAGCCGTTAAATGATTGAAAATCCCCTTTAGTAATTTCGCCCATGAGTGAAAGAGTTGAACTAACATTTTTACCACAGGCTGGTTTTGGCTTTTTTAAGCTTTCGACATTGACATTGTGCATTAAATTACTGCAGAGTCACACCCTTTACCTTTAAATGTTTAAATTTATTTAATTTATAATAATAATTTATTTTGATTTATTTTGAAAAGCTCATTTTGCACCATCATTGTGATATGAATGGGGCTCTCATTTGATTGTCTTTAAATAAATCAAGTTTAATTGTTTCAAATTTAATTTTGAATGTATTAATTTAGTAATCTAGTTAACTAGCCAGTCATTTTAAACCAACATGGGCAAATCCTCAAGTTAGCAGTGAAAGAAATGGAAATTTGAACATCTGCATTTGAAGACTGAACACATTTATTTATTTATTTTGTATTTTTTCTGAGGGTGAGCAAATTTATCGTTTATGGGATTTAGATTGTTTAAATTCACTATCCTGTTTTTATCCTGACTATTTACATGATTATTTATTACATTACATTACTATTTAAATTTCACAGACATAACTCATAATTACAAAAATAAATACTATAAACAAGACTCAAGAACATGTTACACTGAGGTACCCCATGTATTTAGGACAGCTTGATCCGCCTGTTACCGTCACACATTAAATTCTTCTTTTGGATTATGCAAAGCCAGTCATTTTTCTTAATAGAAAATGAAGTTATTGTTGCTTTTAATATTTATTTTCAATGATTATGAATTAATGTCATAATACTAAACATGTCATTGTTTTTGTTTACTATTTGTCTTGGTGTTTTCCTTCTGTGTTTCTTCTTTAGTATGTACCTTTTAATAGTCAATGAAATGTAATGACTTGTCAGGACCTCCTTGAAAATAGGATGATGCATTTAAAGAGGCTAATCATGTAAGAAAATAACTTCATCAGCAAATTCTCCTCGCTCTAAGTTGTCATAGTAATGTTCAAATTTAATTTTTTTCCCCCTATAGCCACAGGTACAGGTAATTGATTTTGCCAGTTTTCAGGACTTTATATGTTTATTCTTAAAATAAATTATTCTTGATTGTCACTTATTTTTTCCTTACCATGACAGGAAGACAGTACTGCAGGTTTCTATGTAGAAAAACACTATTTATACAATCCAAAAAACACAAAAGGTATCAAACATCCAAATCCAAAAATCTTTGATATTTAATTTTTTCATTACAAAATCCTTCCCATGTTATTTCTATGGTCTTTTATGCTGGCCTACTAGAGAAATGACATTTAGCAGCTGAAAAAAATAATTTTGAAGCCACAATCAGACATTTAGAGACGGCCTGTAATGTAAAAGAGAAAAGAAAAATGAGAACCCTCTTAGCATCTCATAACTCAAAATCCCCACCACTCCACTGTCAGAAATATATGCACATATATATATATAAAATACAAATATTTAGCAGACACCTGGGCCTAGTATGGACCTGTGTATCAAAAACCCAGGTAGCAAATAGTAAAAAAAGCATCTTCAATCCAGTTAATCATCATGTAAACAAAACCACCACTGTGACAGCAGCAGTCCTTCAGTTACAGTGCCATGCCATAGGTGCAGACTGGGCCTTGTTCGGTTCACATCTGTCCACATATCAGTGCCGATTAGGCTGTCTCACTGCTGGCAGATGGAGGGGAATTGTTCTCTGTCTCGTGAAGGTGCTCTGTGGATTTGAGGACATCAGGGTCTCTTGGACTTGCCATCATTTCCTCACTGTTGCAGTTAACAGGGGAGCCGATCTCTGAGGACCGGTCCCCGGGCTTCTCAGTAGTGGCGTGCAGGTTGGTGGTGGAGATTGGCAGGTTCATCATGTACAACATGCTGCCCAGGCGCTTGGACACCTGTGGAAGAATAAAAAGAGTTGACACATATTAGATCCACAGTGTTCATTTAATTGCTTTTGTTGCTTGTCGATACTGCAGAGGACTGGGTGTCACAATTATCAACACCTGCGCCCCACAGGCCTTTCTCACAGATGACACAATAGGAAAAGCACAGGTGTAAATTATAGAATGAACGATGGCTGAACTCCATTTAGTTGCTTCAGTTTTTAATGACCCTGGTATCATGCATGCTCACTGGGACACTTTAATAAAGCAGAGCCATTGTTAATGTCTTTTATTATCTTTTATAAGCCTTTGATTATGATATTATGTAAATCTGGTAAGACAATGTAATTAGATCAAATAGAGTTTAATTAATATCAAACACTCAGTGGTCACTTTATGGTGGAGCTAGTTAATGCATATATCTAATCAGCCAATCATGTGACAGCAACTCAGTGCAATGCAGACATGCTGTCTACTCTGTGTACACTGTAAATACAACACACTTCAGTCATTTTGTTACAGAGTTTTTCCTCATCCATATGGAGGATCTGAGGATAGACATGTGATTTAGGGCTATATAAATAAGACTTACAAGAATCACAGGCTCACCAGCTTACACATCTCAACAGAGAGTGACCATGACAGGCTTTATGAAAAATGGGCATTTGTAAGGCTTATGTCAAAGTGGCACACATGCCCCATATTTCAACAGGTTATCAGGCGGTTTCTTTTATGACAGGGGTTCAATCAGAGTGTGTGTTTCATACCTGTGAGCGGATCTTAAGTGCCGGCCCCAGCTTCAGCCCCAGTGTGTCCAGTAGATGCTCCTCTGAGAGGAGGGGCAGCGTCTCCCCATCAATCATATGGTCCTTGAATGTCTGCAGAGTGCAATCACCCCACATTAGCACAACAAAGACACAACAGAAAGAATATAATACATCAGTTAAACACAAGTACCAACCTGAGCGTAATCTGAACACGTGGGTATACTGTTGATAAAGTTATAAACATCATTCACTGTCCACTTCCTTATGTCCTCTGACACCTCATTACCATTGAGAAAGAGATTCGGTGGACCTGGCAAATAAAGAGTACATACAAGTTAAATCATTGCTAAAAGAATCATTTTACAATTCCAGGCATTGTAATTACGTTTTGCATTTATTTCCCAAACTCACCAGGGGGAAGGAAACCATTTCCAGGGACGGGGAACATGTAAGGCATCCCTGTGAGAGCTCCACCTGCAGAGGGATACATGAATTTCTCCTGGAAAGCTGAACATTGGCTGGATATGTCTTTGTCATTTGTGCCACTGTTGGCCACATCAGAGCAACTCTCCTGACTGTTCACACAGGCTTTACGCAGGGCTGCCTCCCCTTCTTTGTAATTCTTCCTGCTTCCTGTGGCGTGTTCAGGGTCTATTTTTGCTTGATGGTGCGTTTTGCTGGCGGCACATTCCTCTCCCATGTCCCCCTTTGCCTCCACCTCCTTCTCCTCCCCTGATGTGGCTCCTGGGCTCTGCTCTACACTTTTATCTTCAGTTTGGCCCTTCAGGTTGGTCACATGGCTTTCTGCACTCTTGTGTGTAGTTGGTCTTCTGCCAGCCCTGCGTCCCCTCTCCCTGTGCAGCGTGCTGATTGGTGGGTAAGGGCTGGCTGACATGAGTATGCTGTTGGAGTGAAGTTCGTCCAGGGTGGGACGGTGGACGAAGACATCGTGGCCATCCGGCATGCGCTGACGACCTCTAAAGGCCATGGGGTTGGAAGGGTAAGACATGGGATTGTCAATTCCCATCAGTCCCTTCTGGTGAGCATTTTCCAGCTCCTTCTGATGCAGGATGGCATTCATCTCCATTCTGAATGAGAGCACATAGAAATGTGTTAGTTTACAGCATTTTTTCACACATGCCTAAAACTTTTGCAGAGTACTGTATGTCTAAGAATGCTTTCAAAAATATAAATAATAATTGTTTATTTTTATCAATTTACAAAATGCAAAGTGAGCAAACAAAAGAAAAATCTAAATCAAATCAACATTTGGTGTTACTAGCCTTTGCCTTCAAACCAGCATCAATTCTTATAGGTACCCTTGCACAAAGTCAGGGATTTTGTAGGATTATAGTCAGGTGTATGATCAACCAATTATACCAAACAGGTGCTAATGATCATCAGTATCACATGTAGGTCGAAACACAGTCATTAACTGAAACAGAAACAGCTGTGTAGGAGGCTTAAAACTGGGTGAGGAACAGCCAAACTCTGCTACCAAGGTGAGGTTGTGGAAGACAGTTTCATGTCACAGGTCATACACCATGGCAAGACTGAGCACAGCAACAAGACACAAGGTAGTTATACTGCATCAGCAAGATCTCTCCCAGACAAAGATTTCAAAGCAGACTGGGGTTTCAAGATGTGCTGTTCAAGCTCTTTTGAAGAAGCACAAAGAAACGGGTGATGTTGAGGATCGTAGACGCAGTGGTCGACCAAGGAAACTTAGTGCAGCAGATGAAAAACACATCAAGCTTATTTCCCTTTGAAATTGGAAGATGTCCAGCAGTGCCATCAGCTCAGAACTAGCAGATTCTGCAGCAGGACAACGACCCCAAACATATAGCCTATGTCATTAAGAACTATCTTCAGCGTAAAGAAGAACAAGTCCTGGAAGTGATGGTATGGCCCCCACAGAGCCCTGATCTCAACACGGAGTCTGTCTGGGATTACATGAAGAGACAGGATTTGAAGAAGCCTACATCCACAGAAGATCAGTGGTTAGTTCTCCAAGATGTTTGGAACAACCTACCAGCTGAGTTCCTTCAAAAACTGTGTGCAATTGTACTTAGAAGAATTGATGCGGTTTTGAAGGCAAAGGGCGGTCACACCAAATATTGATTTAATTTAGATTTCTCTTCTGTTCATTCACTGCATTTTGTTAATTGATGAAAATACTGAATAAAGAATGCTGATAGAGAATGCTGAAAATGTCTGTTTTATCCAACAAAATGTGGTGCAGACTTTTGTGTAGGTGGAATGTTTTTGTCAGATGTTGATGATATTCTGCACATGCTACCTGGCTATATTTTGC